TTTAAATTTAAATTCCAAAAAACCTTTAATTTCAAATTAAGGTATTTAATACAATAAGTTTTTTAAAATACCTCTAGTGAATGTTAAAACAAATTCAAATGCATGAATTTTGCTATTTTATTGGAAGACTTGCATGCTTGCATTAGGGGATGATATTTATTGATAACAGGTAATTGTATTATCAATGATTTTTAATGACCCAGAAGCCAAAGCTAAAGTGATTAGATAAATTTTTAAATCTTTTACCATTTAACGTATTTACTGCTTTTAAAAATGAGTCACGAAGTTTAGCTCTCGCTTCTTGTTCTGATGTGTTTTCATCTTCACTGGTTTCTGGTTTCATTATTTTTATCTCAATATATATGTCTGTAATTAATAACGTAAACCGTAATTTTCTTCTACTTTTCTTTTTTGGCGGTTTTCAAACCATAATTTTATATCTGGTGGTCTTTACTTAGGGAACCTGTCAAGTGTGAAGTGTCTTGTGACAACTTGACAAGTCAAACAAATCAATCTAAAATGTCAAAATTGTCAAAACATTGACAGCTAACAAAATATTTACCAGTAATGCCATTTTACTTTAAATAAACAAAATATGACTAAAAATTGTTTAACCTATATAATAATATGGGAAGCAAAAACTTTGAGGGGTATAAAGTTTGCACACATAAAGTTTATACAGAGAAGGCACACATAAAGTTTATACATTGCAAAAAAATGCATAAAATCAATTAAAAAAAAAAGTGCGTGTACTTACATACGCGCCCGAGAAGTTAGACTTCTTTGGCATCATTAAAAAATAGTTTTTCATTTCATGCAAATAATTAATTACAATTAATATTTACATAAATAAATAAAATAATAAACATTCTTTATTGAGAACTGTAAAGGGCGAATGTGATTGAAAATATGCTGTCATCTTTAATAGGCGGGTAATCGGGCAGCTTCAAAGGTGTGACTTGTGTTAGTGATGTGCACGCATCTTAAAATTTCACTCAATCTTTTTTTCATAACGCGCCTAAAGAAGTATAACTTCAAAAGCATTACACACTACCATGTATAATTATTAATTAATTATGGTCGAATTTCGAGCACTAGTTCATTTAAGTATTTATTTATGTGTTGCAAATATTTACTTTTATTACGAATAAAACAAAATATTTCTACGGGCATATGCAAAAACTCCTCAATTATTAGAAAAAACTTAAAGTCACCAGACAGATTATATCCTAGGTGATAGGTTCCATTGAGCTATATGCACACATTTCCATACATTTAATGTGAAAGGATCGACCTGTACCAGTAGCGGATTTGCTCTAAGGCCCAATAGGCCCGGGCAGCACAAAATTCACTGATGATAACATTATATGATGGGCTATGAGAAAGGGGCGGCTGGAACTTACTACGTGGGCGGGGGCCTAGGGCGGCCAAGATTACAAATCCGTCACTGACCTGTACACATAAAGTGACCATACATCCCGCTTTCAGGCAGTCTGTCTCGGTGTCCCAAGCGAGGCTAGTAATGCGTGGTACGGCGCAGGCGCCCCGCACGGGAAGGCAGATCAGATTACGAAAGACTGCGCCGCGCCGCACCAGATTGAGAATAGGTAAAGCCCACCCGCCCGCGCCTGCGATTACTGGATGTTCACTTGCTCAGTCAGTCAAAGTTAGACGAAACTAGGATTGTGTAACGCAACACAGTGATTTGTAACACAACAATAATGCCTGAAAGCAAGCGTTCCTTTAATTTAGTTTGCAACAGAAGTATCCATTTATAAAAGAAAGAAAAGATAACACCGCAGACGTTACGTGGGAACAGTAGCAAATGCAATATTCTTAAAATAATGCAAATCAGAAAAACAGGCTTGCCGATCAAGCTACTGCTTCAAGCTCGTCAATGCTTAGCTTTTAAGAGCACCGATTTGCCGACTTTCGAGGCTTTGGTTATAGCTGCAGCTGAGGGTACGTTGACATTTCAATTTAGATGTTCACGTAAAAAGTCTCAAACTATTATCGTAAATGTGCTCTCAACTATGGCAACTGAAGATTTAAGAGTATTTACGCAAATCCCACTGCATAACTTTATTAACGGATAACGGATTGACCGAATCGAAAATTTATTAATTTTTCTACATTTACAGCGTTCGAGTAGAAGATTTGAAAGTTTTGTAATTCTACTGAGACTCACAAACTGCTAGGCTACAGTAAAACAAGGTGACTTGCGTTAATGCCCGCGCTTGGGAGATTTATAAAAATGTTTCAGCCTAAAAACTATTTTCTGAGTATCGACAAATGCCCAAATATTAATTTAAAAACGTAACAAAATGTGTCGGCGATAGTCTGCGAAGGAAATTAATCGTCTCAAGGTTAACCTGGCATTAAGAGAATACTATACTTATTTATTATACGATTTACATTGAACTGTGGTAGGGCCACCCAGCAGCCTCGGCTGTTGCACGAATGGGCAGGCTCGTCCGGGTAAGTACCACGACCTCACAAAAGACCGGCGTAAAGTGGAAGTATAATAAATACTTTCTCCTTCCGTCTGATGGTGACGTAGCCGGAGCCCAATCTTCAAAAGGTTGTCAACGCATCTGTAAGCGCCTGTTCGCTTGGCAACTTTAAAATATTTTTAAGATAAATCTTAAAAATATTTTTTATGTCGTTGGAGAGTTCTCACTTATTTCCAACTTTGCGACTGGGGCTTAGTAAGCCGTGCCTAATTTTGTGTTTAGTGCTTCGATTATTTTTTGTTATTCTATCTTCTATAATAAAAAATTGTAAAACACTAAAAACTTTTTTTATTATTTAATTTCGCAAATGTCCCGCTCTGGCAAAAAAAAATGGTCACATTATGTATAATCCGTAAGCATGCGCTTTTTTCTGTGTATTTTAATAAATTATTCCCGCTTTCACTTTTTTAAAGTGTTATTCCCGCAAAGTTGCAAAAATGCTTTGATTGAGTGTAATCACCAAAATTCTTATATTATATTGTTATGTATTTATTTTCATAGTATTCGGTAATGTATTTTTCCCTTGGATGATATCGATCGGATTAACTCTGCTATAATCATTGATTTGTTCTCTAATGGCCGATATCAATTTTCTATGTATCTATAGATTTGGTTACTAGCAATAGATATACGATCCACAAAATTTATGTCAAAATTCTATCTCCAATAGCTAAATAAAATAGAACATTGAAACCGGCATTAAAAGACTACGATTCTTCTGCTAAAAATAGTTAACTAACAAATATACCACATTCATGCATTCTGTAAAATATATAAGTTGGTTTGATGATTCGTTTGTATTAACAAGAATTGTATCTGAGCATTTTTTCTTGCTTGAATGAAATTAAAATCATTTATAATAATTAGATACATAATAATATCTTATGAGGGATAAAAATAAAAAACAGCAAAATATATTTTTTAAATTTAATAAAATATCCCTTATTGGATGGCTCACACTTGTAGAACATACACGAAAAATTATTCTCAATTAACATTTTCCATTTTTAGTAATATAGTAAAAATTATAAATACCTGAATCACTCCTCAGTGGACTCTGGTATACAGTTACAAATGACCTCCCTAGGGATAAAACAGTAGAGGTAGCTACAATTTACAGATATCATTGCTAAGGCGATTAATAATAACAAGTTCGTATCTAGCTTAAAATGTACATGCATTTGCATTTTCTAAGTTATTTCAGAGACCTACTTATAGAATTCTTATTTATACCCGCGACTATGCTATGTCACCTCGAAACCGTTGACGAGTTCTCTGGGCGTGTCGCTTGCGGTTTTCTCTTCATTTCATGCGTGCCTTAATTTCAAAAGTACCTCAATGACGTGCTACCGCGCTCGGACCCCCAGTCTTCGACTCTTCAACGGTTCAACTGAAAAGTCCATCGTGAGGCTAGAAACTAGCATTTTTGAAGTAAATTCTTGAATTCACATGCGACAATGACTTCGTTGTTGGACATTCGAAACTTATTTAGAAAAGTATTTAGTTTTATATCGCAGCGGAGGATCATTGTCAGCCATGTGCTCCAAAGGGATTAGGGGTATTAGTGGTTTTTTTTAATTCTTTATATGACATAGCAACGAGTTCACCGCGTAAAATAAGAGGACTAGTAAAAGGTACGATGTAATCACAAAATCGAACACGGGCCGAATCCTCGTTGCTATGTGATTCAATATTTGGGTACCTGGAAAGACACGGTAGATGCGAGAACGGCGTCCAAAATCCGACAAGGCACACAAGGTAACGCTGCGCTCGGTGCAATGGCATATATGCGATGGCAATGTACAGAGAAAGCGGTCGAACCGAACTGATCCAGACTTGAAACAGTACAACGCCCCGTGCGTATCATGATCAGCGGTATTCCCCTACTCCTAAACGGCGATAGAACAGGACCTAGCAAATACCTGGCACCGCTCTTCGTAGTCTGGCAACTCGCAAATAGACGCGACGGCGTGACATCTTATATGGAATACCTCAAAGCCGCGCGTTGCACTGCACTTGGTGTGCCACCGTACGAAAGGGCGATATAGCTGTTCAAAATACCAATTGAAATACCTGCCAAGTCCGTCGGTGTGACGACAACTATCGAATCAAGGGTAATGGGGGTGGGTCAACATGACTCCCCATACGATTGCCATATACCAGTATTATTTCGGTATGCTACTATCGGCTGTAAAATAACACAGTGTTCACTTTATTACTTGTCAATATGTATTAACAATTCTGTGGGGTTATGGCTGGTTTTGGTCTTTGGTTGTGTGCGAAATGCGAATGGATGTCGTTAGGGAAGGGAAATGGAAAGCACCTTTTCGGAGGGGAGGGACAGTAGGGGGGTGTGTTAAGTAATGAAATGGTATGGGCATCGAAGGCGTATGAAAAATCAGTCAAAGTTTATTGCATATTATATTTTTGAGGTTATTCTATACTTACCGGTTTCAGGCGCTTTTGTGATACCTCAGTCAGTTGTTAGTGGCGGTCGCGTTCCCGTTCTCGGGACCGACGGCGCGACCTCTCGTGTGGAGATTCTGAGTCAAGAAAGACAAGGACATTACATTCGTCGTTATTCGATACAGCTAAAGATCTAGTTCTCGGCTAACTATATAATTAAAGTGTGTATCTATCATCTATCTATCATCCTCTGAAAATTTATTAAAATTCGTTAAATGGTTGCAAAGTGAACATTACACGCGCATACATAAGCAATTATAAGTTCCTTATTCAAAATTTTGGTTAAAAAGAATTAACTTTGATATGGAATTCGAATGATAATTAGTTTCAAACATTAAAATAAGTCATTATTTCTTATTTGCATTTTTGTATTGAACATTAAAAAAAGCTAGTGATGTCGGCTTTGCTGTTTTAATTTAATTTTTAAGTTTCAGCACTACGCCTGGCAGCGGCAAAAACTATTGCAACAGATTTATCACCACACTTTTTAGTTTCGTGTTCAGAGAAGAAGAGTACAAAATCGACGAACTCACTTCTCTCCTTGCGGTGTTTGCGTTCGCGTTCGCGTTCGCGATCCTTGTCCCTCTCGCGCTCTCTGTCTCGCTCTCTCTCCTCGTGCCTGCCGCCCTTCTCTTCGCGGCCTGACCTATTTAACAAGCAATGGACGCATTTGTTTGCATTTCGTCAGTTTTCCACGCAAGAGTAGATAGAATAGAATAGGTTCGCTATCAAAACAATTAATAAATACCATTTTTTTTTTGTTACTAAAAAATCTTAATAAAATGCGACGGTTCTCTAGAGAACTCGCCACGCGACGCCCAGTATATTTTCTCCCGTGGCTTATACAACAACCGACTGCTCAAATTTTAATAAAAAATAACGCGTTTGGACAATTTGAAAAGTTTCAAGATCACACACGTATCCTTGTGTGGTCGGTTTGACGAGATTTTCAGTTACTATTTGCATTTACGTGATACATACGATAAAATTAATTAATAAATTCAAGTATATTCTATTCCATTCCAATTCAAAAACTCATATCTCACCGATGCCGATCCTTATCTCTCTCCCTGTCCTTATCGCGATCATTGCGGTCGCGATCATTGCGATCGCGCTCGCCGCGTTCTCTGTCCTTTTCCCCCCTTTCTCTATCTGGACGATCCCTGTCCCTCTCTCTGTCCCTTTCCATTCGTTCCCTGTCCCTTCTATCAGACCCTAAGCCCCCTCCTCGGGCATTGCGCTCCCTATCTCTCTCCTCCCGCCTCTTCTTCTCTTTCTCTTGTTGTTCCTTCTCACGGGCCTCGCTCATCTCTTCGTACGCCTGGCGCAGTTTGAAGTACCTGTATTTAACGGCATATCTGTTATATATCAATGGTACACACTTCTGTTACATTATAAATTAGAGGGACATTTACAGTAGTGATCAACTAATAACGGGAAAGAATACGGAAAACACAAGTAATTTCCTAACCGAAAATGTTGTAATAAATTAGCCTATCTACAAAATACTGAAATTATCTTTTTATTAGTTTAAATTGTTCCAGTACACGTTAAATTCTGGCAGTCTAATGGGATCCTAAAAAGAAATAATATCTTTTTGTCCAATTTTGCAGCCACTGTTGATCACTGTACATAATTTATAGCTACTAATTTTGTACAAAAATACCTATGACATAATGAGAAAGAGTGAATAAATTTTATTAGAAGACATACTAAACTACTTATTCCTTTGTAACACATACAACAACAAAATCAACCAAATGTACCTAGATCACAATACCGACTTTGTCAAGAAAGTCTAATGAATGAAATAATAAAGTAAGTAGGAAAATCTTATGTCACATAGTATTTTATCCTAAATTAGTTGACCACCATTCAATATTTACAAGTGTCAAGTCTACTAATATTACTAAATTAAAAAATGAATAGGTCTAAAAAATTATTATAATGCAATGGGAATTGAAGAATTTTCCGCACCCAACATGTTGTTTCCCGGAAAGATGGTCATCGATGCGTTGCTGAGCATCACCCACAATCAGAAAAGCTCCACAAACAGGACAAACTTCCATCTGCTTCTCTTGAGCTGCAGCCAACTCGGCAGTCATAGACCAATGGCTGAAAAAGAATGTAACCAATGATGTTTTAAAAAATAAGTAACACTTTACACTAGACATAGAACCTGCAACAATTCCGCTTCGTGCTCTCGTACGGAACGGGCGTCTCTCTAAGACGGAGGGCACATGCCACCCGAATTAGACGCTACTCGCAACCTCGGTTGCAATTTAAATCTTGTGCAAATAGTGCAGTAGTTTAGTGTTTGTGTAGTGTTGTGCTCGTAGGCAGTAAGTAAAATCCTACACACACTTCTCGCCTCAGAGGCGGCATTGTTTCATTTATTAACTGTGTGCTTGTTGCAATAGGCGACAGCTAGCTACCCACCCTAGCGCACCAAAAGCGCAGGCAAATTAGTTGTCATTTTTAGGCACACTCCACCCTGCCGCAAGGTGGGGAGGTTTATTTAGCTCACACACGCCGGCGGGGCTACAAGCCCCAAAGGAACTTACGTCGCCATGGGCTCCCTTTTCGAGGAGTTCGTACGCAAAGAATGCCCCGCTATGTGGGAACGTTTTCTTGCCTATGAGGCCGAGCATAGGCAAGTAGCTGAACTCGCGTCGCCGCCATCGCCCGCGCCCTCTGCGCCCGTTACCCCGTCGCCTTCCGCGACCTTAGAAGCCCCCGTCGCATCGGCATCCGCTGCTGCGAACTCGCCCGTCGCGCCTTCCGCGCAACCAAACCCGACCTCTTTTCGCTCCGTCGTACCCGACTCACAACCGGAAGGCGGATCGGACATGGAGGTCGAAACGACCCCCGCTGAAAACGCGAACGCCGACGGCTTCACCATCGTTAAATCGCGTAAAAAGGGTAAAAAACGCCCCGCTACCGACAGCGACCCCGAATGCGAGGCCGCCTCAACTACCCGTCCCACCGCGACGCCCGCTAAAAAGGCCACCGCGGCGGCTAAACCGATGCCCGAATTCGCCTCCGAGCGAAAAATAAAGCCTCCTCCACCCATCATCATTCAGGAGAAGGCTAAGTGGCACCAAATTTGTTCGTGGTTTGAACGCCACAATATCCGCGACCCCCGGTCGAAAAACACGCCGGACGACTTCCGCCGCGTAACGAAGCACTTGCGCGAAAACAAGATAGGTTTCCACACCTACTCGTTGCCCGAAGAAAGAAAACTTCGGGTAGTAATCAAGGGCATCCCCAAAGAGTCGGATGTCGACAAGGCGAAGACCGACATCCGCACTCAGGGATACCCTGTGCATGCCGTACGACGCCTCAGGCACCCCAGAACCCGTGTCCCTATGGACATGGTGATGGTTGAACTTGACCCTACCCCGGAAGGTAAGGCCATCTTCAACCTGAAGAGGGTCTGTGGGCTCAGCGACCTCGTGATCAAGCCCCCGCGTAGGTCAGGAGTTGTGGCGCAGTGCCACAACTGCCAGTATTATGGCCACACGGCTAATAATTGCTTCGCTACCCTAGGTGCGTCAAATGCACCGGTGACCACGGCACGCCCGACTGTACGCGGCCGAATGATTGCGCAGATCCATCGGACTGCGTCAATTGTCATACCACCGGCTACCCGGCTAGCCACAGGGGCTGCGCTAAGGCCCCTAAAACCCGTGAGAAAAGCTCCCGCGAAATCAACTTTACCTAAATCCGCGCCCGCGAAATTCATTCCCGCGCCTGCACCCGTCGTAAACGCCTGGGCGAAACCCCCGGTAGTAGCGCAGGTAGTCGCGCCACAGCTAAGATCCTCGCGTCATTGTACTCCTGGCGCGAGGTTGCAAAAGCTCAGTGCCATATGCCGGCCCCGGAAGAGTTGGGGGAGCGCAGGGATCACCTGCGCTCAAACGCCATCGGGAAGTGGGCGAAAAGGCTGGAGCACCCCAGTGCCGGCCTAAGAACCGTAGAGGCCATACGTCCTGTCCTCAGGAAGTGGGTGGAGAGGCGACACGGCACCCTTTTTATTTTTTTGTGGTATCGGGGGGGAAATCTTCAAAAGATACCCTGTCACTTTACATGACAGGGTTATGTGGGGTTCTTACCCACTAAAACCCCCTCGGTGGCCACCTTCTGTACATTTGGAGGGACTCCGGGACGTCCCATGGAACGCACCGGTGTCCCTCGGTACTACGCCTGAGCACGCCTCGGAGAAGGATAAACCTTCTCCAATCCCCTCATCCTCTTACGAGCAACACGAGACCACTTCGTGCTGCTGCCCATCCGTGTCCCCTTTTAGTCGCATTTTACGACAGGCAGGGGATACCTTAGCCCTATTCTATAAGCCCGGGACTACAGGGCTGACGGAGCGGCTCGTCCGTTTCTACCACCCGCGCGCCTTCGTCTCCGAGCGGGGTCGGCCCTCTCCCGTTCCCGCTCAGCGATCTCCTTCTGGAGCATGACTGCTTCGCAGAAGGAGACTAGTGCCGTCCAAGCAGATTTCTCCATCAGTGCAGCCGCCACTGCAACTGGTGGAGAAAGATCCTGCCCGATCTTTTGGACCAGGATCCGACGTTCTGACTCCCAAGCGGGGCACTCTGCAAGAGTGTGTTGCGCGGAGTCCCGGTCCCCACCACAATGGTGGCATTGCGTTGTCGGTTCGCGTCCAATTCTATTTAGGTACTCACCAAAGCATCCGTGCCCGGTGAGCACCTGCGTCAACCGGAAGGTGACGTGCGCGAATCCCCTCGCACTTAGCTAGGCTTCGAACCTGGGCAGGAACGCAGTGACGATTCGTTGGCGCAAGTTCCGAGCTTCTCCCAAGCGCTCGCGCCAAATCTCCAACCCCCGTGTACGCTCCTGCTCCCGCACCTCTCCCGCATCCAGGGGCTCGGCATCATCCTGGGGTAACCGGAGGCGAGTATAAACTCGCGCATCCATCTCCGCCAGGATGTCTAGTGGTGGAAACCGAGCAAGGATAGTGGCCGCCTCAAGGCGACACGGCACCCTGACCTACCGCGCGACGCAGATCCTCTCGGGACATGGTTGTTTCGGGAGGTACCTGTTTCGTGTGGCGAGGAGGGAGCCCACAGCGGAATGCCATCACTGTGACGCATGTGCCAAGGAGACGGCCCAACACGCACTGGAGGAGTGCTCAGCCTGGACGGAGCAGCGCCGAGAGCTATGCGCTATTGTGGGGCACGACCTTTCGCTGCCAGCCGTGGTTCGCGCTATGGTTGACAGCGAGAGAGCGTGGGGTGGTGTCCTCGCATATTGCGAGGACGTTATCACCCGGAAGGTGGCCGCGGAGAGAGAAAGGGAGGCAACTGCCACCCTGGAAATCCACCGCCGGAGACCAGGGCGCAGGAGGCTGGCCTACGCGCGCAACCTTCCCCCCTGATAGCGAGACCCTGAGCGGCAGACATGGGGGTGTCTGTCGCTCAATATGGGGCTCGAGACGTGTGCTGTGCCAATTGCACCGGCACAGCACGATGCAGTAGAGGAGGCCTAAACAGGGCCATAGTCGCACCGGAGTCGCGGAAGATTGCGTCCACGTGTTCCCGTGTCCCCGGCTGATGCGATAGAGACAGGTGCAACGTGGGTTTTTTAGTGGGTACGCGTTTCTCGGGCTTTCTCTCTCTCTCTCTACAATTTTGACTCCCACTTGAGAATGCGTGTGCGCAGTGGGGGCTGAATTAAGATGGCCGCTTAACTAAAAACAAAAGGCTCGTGCTCGGCCATCTTGCGATAATTAGCTAATACAATAGATGCACCAGCCGCCATACTGACGCATAGCCGATCGGGTGGAGCTACTGTGCATTAAAAGATTGTTGATTCGCTGTTAACGTTCGACAGTAACTACGTCGTGAATTTTGATAGACAATAGTTTCCTCGCCGTGGACGTCGACAGCACTACGTCGTAAAAAGAATCGTTGTATCGGTCGAGTTGACTTGCATGCGCGCGCTACATACATACTATGATGTAATTAGCCAGGAAGCTTCACACAATTGCAGTTTTCTTACAGCTAATGCTGTGGCAAATGTTTTAATCTGTACCTACATTCAGGATTATACACATTGGAACAAGACCATTCCATACATAACTGAAACTTTAGATTATTAAAGGCATGGGATTAGATATGGACAACATCACTACAAATGAATTGTGTAAACTGGGCCTAGTGGTTACTACAAGAATGGACAGCCTCTTTTGGGGGATTAATTTTTATCTGGTCAGTGATGTAATTGGAGCGTTTTGAATGAATTGCAATGCATTTGGAAACTGACAGGTTTTGTAGGGGAACATGGGCAGAGAAAATAACTTACACCCAATAATTATCAAGCCTGCCTACTAAAGCCGCTTAATACAATCAAATGATACCTGTTTTCCTGTTGTTTAAGTAGTTGCTCCTTTTCTTCTTTCAATCTGTCACAAAGTTTCATTAAGCCCTGAGCCTGTTCTACATCTCCACGGGTACCGGCTTCTTCTGCCTCTTGCACCAATGCTGTGATTTTCTCAGATAACAATTTCACCTGTAAAATATACAAGCTCGGTAATTTATTCAAACTATTATTTCAACTTAATATTAGAAATTTTAAGTTTTTTATAGTGCAAATCTCTGCACTTTTTCTACAAGTTTTTACTTAATACTTCCTTTAAAATATTTTAGGTAAGAAGCATTTATGTTATAGGATACTAGCAGATAATTTCTTATGTTTACATGAATACTACATATTACTAAGTGAAACTGTTTATTTTTAATTTTGATCTCCATTTCTGATAAATGATTAGATTGTGTGCAATCTACACAGATTAAAAAACAATGACATTCAGACATCAAACACAAACCAGTGACCATCAAAAATGTAATGTTCGAAACATAGGGAATCAAAAAAATTTTTAAATAAATTAAAAGAAGAATCTTCATCTAAATTTTCATATTATAAATTAACTAAAAACAATTTATTTTTTGGAACTGCTGCAACTTTTTTTTATTTAAAACTAGTCCTAGCAATTTGTTAGCAATCATTTTACCTGCTCTTGGTTTTTTTCAGTTTGAGCCTGTGTCATTGGTGGACCTTCCGGTTTAGAGTTCATGAGCTCCAATCTTTGTTTACCTTTTTGGATTTTCCCTGTAAATAGACAATATAATGTTATTTAATAAAAAATAAGTTCATAAAATTATAAACGGCTTTACTTTAGTGTATGGTAGCACAATTAGATAGGTAAGTTTGTTTTTCTTCCCAAGAGTTTTACATAATTACATGCTAAAGCATTAGAACAAGTCATGTTATTTCAGACTGAAAAATTATATTTAACTATTAACTGTAAATTTTTGTCTAAAAAAAAGATACCACTGAAATAGAAAATATAATAGAGGTGAATGTGAATGGACTTTCAAGTTGGTAAGTTTTTTGAAATCATCATTATGGTTGAAATTCCAATACAGAGCAATCAGCCTCGGAGAAGTTAGGTTAAGGTGGGAGTGGAGCTTTCATGGATTTTTTATAACCACCCAGAAATAGAGCCCCACATAGCAGGGCTAAGGAAGATCCCCCCCCCCCCCCCCCCCCCCGCCCCTTTATTATATTTCAGAAACAGAAACTTCTTTTCCACAACCCCCCCTTTTACAGGGAGGTTCACCACTTACCCCCCACCCTACATGTTCTACCATATACTAAAGTAATACCTAATAATCACAAATTAATAAAAAAAAATGAAAAATGCACATGTTTCTCTTACTTTCTACTTCACTTATCATATGCCTACAAAAACGTAAAAACTCTTCAACATATTGAGCTTTTTTATATGAAGACTCCGCTTTCTCAAACAGTTCCTTAACTTCATCATCATGAACTTTTGGGCAAGCTCCAAGATCAGCCCGAGTATTCACAAACAAATCATGAGGGCAAAATTTTACCATGAAGTATTTACAGTACTGCAAAGAAAACATTATTGTTAAAATTACCAGTGTATATTGAATAAAATTAGTAGAACAATCGACCAGCGAAATAACAAAAAACATCAAATTTACAATATCCTTTTTTGGGCTATTGTGATTAGTTAATTTCAGATAACTCTCCCTAGACAATGTACTTTTTAAAACAAACCGAATAAATTGTAATTTGATGAATTAGGCATTATGCTTTTTGGTTATGTATATCAATCGATATTTCATTCACAACATAAAAATTACAATATAAATTATCTTACTTCTGGGTCCTCCCAATTCGGTTTTCTTATTTTCTCGTTAGGATTGGTATTTCGATGCCGTCCCATTAATTCATCTAATAATTGGGCGGCCGCTAACACCGCCATTGTGATTATTATTTGTGAAAAGTAAACCTACAGTTATAATTAGAAGCAAAACAGGACTTTTAAGAATAGATTTTGCCTGATCATAAAATTTTATGTAACTAAAACTAATACAAGTAATTTAAAGAAACATTTTTTCGACCTCAGACAAATCATGAAATCACTTTAACCATAGACCATAGCTATGTAAGAAACTAAGAAATATATACTGAAAGCCATAGACTAAATCAGTATAGTAGACACTAGACTAAATCCATTTAGTGCTGCCAACTAATTTTAAAAAATGGCCTCAAAATCAAGATGAAATATCCCTAAATAGCCCTGAAAAAATGCAAATTTTCAAAAGCCCCCGCCACATTTTGTTGAAGTAAATAAATATAACTTAACTTTCATTACTTTTCATTACAAACGGTTGAAATAACTAACAAAACAAAATAATATTAACTAAAATTTCACTAATTACATTCATTTAGAGACATTTTGCATTTTTATTTACTCATTTTGGTCAGTCAAAATAGTGATGCATGAAATATTATTAATGTCCCTAAAAATGGCTCTCAACTTTTTTGAACCCTAAAACAAGCCCATTTTATGCATATTTCTGCCCTAAATTTGGGGCTATATGCCCTGAGTTGACAGCACTGCCCAGCGTATATGTATTAATTATAGGACTAAATTAACTTTAAGGGGCCCATTCAGTATCCTGGCTGGCAGTCCGCCGTGCAGTCCGCCACTTTATGCATGATCGTGAATGGTGTTGCAGGCCTGCACAGTTTATGGCAACACCGAGCAGGACGCACCTTGCATCCTGCAAGGGACCTGCAAGCTCCGCCCACCACTTGCAGTCCGCCGCGCAGGAGCAGTATACAAAGAGTACAATAATAATATATATGGCAGTATATAAGATATAAGTCTTATCTATGCGCAGGAGCGTCAGTGGTTTGGCCGTCCTGCGTAGCGGCAGTGCTGCCATATGAAGAAAAAAAGATGCATTATGCCTTTATCAAAATTATGCTATATTATACGAAAATATGGATGCTATCTTAGGAGTTTTTTTCGTAAATTTAGACAGTAAATATTTACAATAGAAATTATTTAGGAGGTTTTTTTTTTTTAACAATTTGAGGAATTAAATTTTATTGACATGTTTGAAAAATATCTACACAGGACTAGATACTTTATTTTAAACAAAAAGAAAGCGTGTGCATCCCAGGATGCCCGACTGATGTGAAAACTTAAACTAAGCTAAAAAACTATTTTATATTGAAATAGTTTAACTTGAGAAAAGCTTAGGTTATTACTTAAATTTTATGTATGTTAGTATGATAATGTGAGGAAAGGTTATTTATTAATAAAAACTTTTATCTAACAACAAAAAAAAACATGGCAGAAAGCTATTTTCTTTTTTTTTTCGAAACGACACGTAAATCCATAATTCTTACAACAACAACACCGACGTTATTGAGAGACATTGGACGGCTTGCAGGATAGTGTGTGGGCTACATCCTGCTTTGCAGTCCTGCACGGCGAACTGCCAGGCAGGATAGTGAATGGGCCCCTTTAAGGAAGCTTAAAAGTCTTGTTACCAGGCCATAAAATCTTTATTAAAAAAAGTAAAAGGAATGAAGTAAAACTATTAAAAATCCAATTTTGGCGCTCTCTACAGACCTCGCTTAGCCTGTTGGTCCGAGCGTTATACACAATGGTAAACTATTTCTGTAGTCTCAAGTTCAAACCCTCATCGAGTGGAGTTGAAATTTTTTATATTATTTTCACTTTTAATTTGTTAGCCAACAAATTATTTTGTTTTTATTTTATAAAATGGCTCAATTTGGGAAATAAACAAATTAATAAGAAAAATTATAAACAAATATTTTTCGTGTATAAGAAAAATTTTCGTTTTAGGGTGAAAAATTAAATATTTTAATAAAAAAATACATAGATGACGTTAAAAAATTTTAATAATAAAAGTTTTATTTACTGATAGATTGTTCTCCAACTGTTCAACTTTGAACAAATACAATAATATTTCGTTGTAATTATTTATGAAAATAAAAAATCAACAAAAATTAAATGGTAATTAAGAAATATTACCAAATAAGAAAATCAACAATAAGTACAACAAAAAATTTAGGGATTTGAACCCAATCCATAAAGAATGATGGTCCTATACACTGTATGTATAGGACTGATAGACCAATCACGAGATAAGACATTGAAATTACCCTTTAAATAAATTAATTAACAACTGTTAATACATACAAATAATTTATAAATACGAAATATGTGAATATACATTTTTTAGTTTCGTGTTTTGGAAGGTCTAATAATATTAAATCTCATCATCATCATCATTTCAGCCTGTTTGAGTCCACTGCTGAACATAGGCCTCCCCCATAGACTGCCATGAAGTACGATCCTGAGCCACCTGCATCCATCGACTTCCCGCACATTTGCACAGGTCGTCACTCCATCTAGTGGGGGTTGTCCCACACTGCGATGGCCAGTACGAGGCTGCCACTCGAGAACCTTTCTTCCCCAACGGTTATCGGTTCTACGAGCTATATGGCCGGCCCATCGCCACTTCAGCTTGCTAATCCTCTGAGCTATGTCGGTTATCTTAGTTCTACTGCGGATGTCTTCGTTACGAACTCTATCACGCAGAGAAATACCGAGCATAGCCCGCTCCATAGCTCGCTGAGCGACTTTGAGCTTCCTCATACGGCCAGCAGTGAAGGACCACGTCTCGGTTCCGTAGGTCATCACTGGCAACACACATTGATGAAGACTCTAGTCTTCAAACATTGAGGTATATTCGACGAGAAGATTTGCCGAAGTTTCCCGAACGCTGCCCATCGAGTTGGATTCGCTGATTGACCTCTGCGTCGAAGTTGGACTTACCTAGCCGGACTAACTGTCCTAGGTAAACGTACTCGTCAACAACTTCGGGCTCAGTGCTCCCAACAACAACCGGTATAGGCGTGACATGGACATTAGACATGATCTTCGTCTTGTCCATGTTCATCTTAAGGCCCACCCGTTGGGAGACACTGTTAAGGTCATTGAGCTTAGCACCCAGGTCCTCCAGCGATTCTGCCATGATGACTATATCGTCGGCAAATCGAAGGTGGGTGATGTATTCGCCATTGATGTTAATACCTCGCCCTTTCCAGTCCAGAAGCTTGAAAACATCTTCCAACGCAGCGGTGAAGAGTTTCGGGGATATGACATCACCTTGTCTTACACCCTTCTGCAGTTGGATAGGTTTCGTACTTGGACGGACATCGTAGCCTTGTTATACAAACACTGCAGCACTTCGATATACCGACAGTCAATTTGGCACCGCTGAAGAGCCTGGAGTACCGCCCAAATTTCGACAGAATCGAAGGCTTTCTCATAGTCCAGAGAAAATATATCGAGAATATGTTTTGGAAACAATGTTCCATTAGAATGTACGATCAAGATTAACATATTTTTTTTTGCTCCTATGAAATGTGTAGGTTTTGCTAAAAAATCTTTTGAAAAACCTATTTTTACTGCATACAGCGCCTTAAGATAAAAAAGTATCAATATTTAGGCTTTGTTTATTTGGTTTAAAAGTAGCTATTTAAAATATAACAGTAGTATTAATTTAAATGTTCCAATGTTTACAATTACTTGTATACCTATTAAATTCTATATAAATTAACATAATTTGCGGGAACTTCAGGATCGTGCTTCGTGGATGCCTATTGGGCAGGCCTATGTTCAGCGGTGGACTCATAACCATTTTTTTTACTAACGAAAAACAAAACCGACTTCAAATATCTTGTTCTGTATTCATTTTATAATTGACTTTCCGGAGTTCCCTAAGTATCTCCGGAGCCCAAGATCCAATACCAAAGAAATTATGGGAATTACCGGACCACGTGGGAAGCACCAGCTTTCAAATAAAAAAAGAATCATCAAAATCGGTTCACTCAGTCAACAGTTCTTAGGTAACAAACATAAAAAAATACAGTCGAATTGAGAACCTCCTCTTAAAGCTTAGGAACACTAGGCCTAAACTTCTCTCAAAGTTAAACTGGAAAGCAACTCATAGTACAATTGTAGACCTCACAGAACATGTGGGGCAGGACGTGCACAATCGGCGACTCTGTGAGTGCCAACTGTCCGATGTCACTTGAGAGTGGAGACACCGTCAATCAAAAGTATTTAGTAAATACTTTTGATTGACTGCTATTTAGTACGGGCTCAAGGTTAGCCACTGTCTGGAGGTTATCGCCGTCCTCGTGTTTAGCGATGTGGGCTGGGTTCATGTGCCCAAATCTTAACGTCCTCCGGTTAGCACATAAAAGGACGTACTTAAGGTTCTACTTCGAATGATATCGGCGTTGGATAGAAAATAATAGTCGCGACTCGCACACACCTGATAAATCAGTAATATTGATTTGTACGAATATGTAATTTAAAAAAAAAAGATTGGGTACTTTTTAAAAAACAAAACCTTTGTTCTAGACTGACTTGTGTATTACACCATCGTTAAGTTAAAAATAAATTTATAAAATTAAAAAGCAACGGGTATGAAAAGGTAAGGTTTGTAGGTTGACTCGCTGCCATGTCGAAATCGGCTATAAATAATAAAAAAAATAAGCTTAAGCATCATTTACTACATTATAAAATAATAATTATCCATAATAAAGCACATGAGCACGAACGCGCAGTATTTCACATGTACAATGTATCTCCTACATGTAACATATCAGTTATCCGATTACCTACACTACACCATATTAATAACGTTGTTGTTTGGAGACCAACAACGACCCTAAGAAACGAATGTAAGCATAATAAATGATTCACTGCAACACTGTAACTGAACGACGGTATTGTTATGTCAGTAAATTGATAACCCACGGAATAAAGAAAAAAATGTTGATAAAGTGTTTTATGATTCTGACCACGGACTAGAAAAATAACAACGTTATTTATTTAGTTTTTATTAATAACGTTGTTTTTATTATTTGTTATCATACGAGGTTTTTTTACTATCTGCTATTGATTTATTAATAAATCTGAATCCTAAAATAAATACAGAAAAACGGAAATTGTTCCAAAATTGAACAGTGTGGAATTATGGAAAGATAAGAAATGTTAAATATTACAAAATATTACGACCGTAAAGTCATTAAACTGTTAATGGTGTTGACTACTATAGTTCAATAGATACAAGATTAATCTATCTAAAATTACATATTATCTAATAAACCTAATCCACGCGGCATGGTGCCAAGAACGCTAGCTGCATTTCCTCGCTGAATAGTAACTTAGATTCAATTAAAACTTGTAAACGGCTAACTGTCATGACTGTAATATAATTATGATTTTATGGATTTATATTTTTCATAGTATTCGTGCATATTGTAGTAAAGTAAAACCGAGAAATTTAAAGATTTGTAATGTGATTTATAAGTAATAATAATGTAATTTATAAGTACGAGGTAGATCAAATTAATGTACTATGGAAGTGTATATCTCAAAAAGATCGATAAAAATGTCCGCGATGATATATGTTTTTCTCCTAAGGATAACTCAAAGTGAACAATTACGTTTAAAATATTACAAAAAAAAAGGGTTTTTTACCAAGCTATTTTTTAACAATACAGTATAGTCATTATCCAATTACATACATTAGATGCGTTGTGCATTTCATGTAGATCCAAATTACCATTTACAGAATATCATTAAGATGAATATCAGAGATTTAAAAAGCAAAGGCAGAGCGGCTAGCGGTTCGTACGTCCGGTTAGCAGTGGTAAAAAAACGTTGCACCGAGTTACGTCGCCATAACAAACTCTATCCCACGAACGCGTTATCACCAGGAAGCGATACGGCGAAGGCGGATGGTGTAACGATTTCAGTGCCCATTAAGAAATCAATGTAGGTGTGATGATTTCAGCATTCCGTAGATTGGACTCTGTGAACGTTTATATCTATGAATATTTGTATAAAATAAAGTTTTCTTTAAACTGTTACCAGCTCACTTAACGGTTCTCACTTAACGATCGTCTCATGAAAAAACAGTGGTAAATACTGTATATAAAGAAATCCTGTAGTCAGTGGCGGACTAAGCCTTTCAGAGGCCCGGGGCGGCAAAGCTAGAATGAGGCCCCTAGTTTAAGAAGTTCATCTAATTTTTGCTTAAACTTTTCACTTCACTTTCGACATGCGTTAACATTATTTGTATGAATTAACAACTAAAGCGTAATTTTTTCAATATCTTATCTTGTTATTGATAAGTTTATCAGTCCTATACAAACAGTGTAAAGGCAGGGATGCCAACTTAGGAATTTTCTTCCGAAATTTAGGAATAAAAAATGTGGAATGGAAGTTTATTGGGAGGTAAATTTTTATGCGAATATTTTTAGGAGTTAAATTTTATTCACATTTTCGAAAAAAACTACACAAAATAACTTATTTAAAAAAAAATCAGTGCTGCTTTGGATGACGTCAGGCCAAGGCCTATGTGTCTGGTATGAATATTTTATGTATTCTAATAATTTTTTTTAATATTGTTTTGATTTTATTCTTAACATATTCATTTCAAATGAATTATGTCATATTTGATGTTTTTCTTTGTTATATTTTTTGCTTATTTTCTTTTTGTAGGTATTTTTTTAATTTACCATTTAATTTTTGTTGATTTTTTTATTTTTATAAATAATTACAACGAAATATTACTGTATTTGTTGAACGTAGAACGCAACAGTTGGAGAACAATCTATCAGATAATAAACCAAGTTTTCATTATTTAAAATTTTAAACAAGTCTTATATTGTATGTTGTTTTTAATTTGTTTTATTAAAATATTTAATTTTTCACCCTAAAACGAAACATATTCTTTTACGAACACGAAAAATAATTGTTTTATAATTTTTGTATTTTCCACATTTTATCAAATAACAACAAAATAATTAATTGATTAACAAATTAAAATTGGAAAAAGATTTATCTGATTTTATATATATTATTTATGATTAATGTAGTAAATGATGCTTAAGTATCAACCAAGACGCTCGGACCAATAGGCTACACGATGTCTGCGGAAGGGAACAATATTTCGATTCTAGTTATAACTGTTGTCGTTTATCGATATAAGGAATTTTATCGATAATTTTTTAAATATAATTTCATTGAAGAATTAATATAACGTAGTAAGTCTTTCACATTTAAAGGATAAATTAAAGTTTAAGAAAATATGTAACAAAAAAGTATACGTAATTTCTGCCGAGGAGACTATGAAATTGCTTAAAATTTTTATGAGAAAATTTTACTTTAAATCAAAATAAATAATTTTATTAAATATATATCGTTTATTTATTGTTTTGTTGTAAGAAATGTCATTTGCCTTTATTAATTTATTTGACCTTAACATGTATTTTTAATCAATTTTAATCCGTTTCCTGATAATTTAAAATAATTAATAGGTAGATTTTCTAAAATAGTTGATTGCTTTCTCAAACTTTATATTTGTTTGTTTATTACTATCCCTATAATAATATAAGAGTAGAATATAATCATGGTCTATAAAAGATACTATAGGGACCATCTGTGTACATTTTCAACAGTCTTCCATGATACTATCGATAGTGTCCTACGGCCCATCACTACACACGAGGTAATGAATTGTTTCATTTAAATTATTTAAAAGTTACTTTCCTTTAGATCACCCCCTTTTCTCACCTGTTATATTTTAAGAACAGATTTGTACCGTAAAAGTAGTCAGAATCACTAATCAAAAGCCAATCTCGAAAATGGCAAAGTCCCGAAAGTACATGAACAAAATTAGGTTACTGGGGACCAAGATTTAGCACGGGAAGGGAGAGGTCCAGCTTTAGCAGAAAACTGAAACTAAAAAAAAATTCCGAATTCCAGGCATTTATTTCGTATTACAACATGTGTACAAGTTGAATCAAAATTTTACGAGTTATCTTACAATTTAAGGCCAGTTTCTGACCACGGTTAGGTAAATTTGCATCGACGCTTTAGCGTCCTCAAGGGAGTTATGTTCGCCCACCTGGATTGTTTTGCCAAGGCAATATTCTGCCAGCAGCTTTAAGGCTGGAGTATTGCCCTTATTCAACTGTAACAAAAAAAAAATTGTTATTATTTAAGTGCTAGTCTACACTAAAAATCAGACTTTAGTACATAAATTGACAGCAGACATAGCAGAATCACACTTTTTAAATGTATCCAACGGCAACTACAATAATTATGTTATCAGGAAGGTCCACATAATCCAATATAATTTAAGTTTGCGAAATTATTTTAAGAAATAATAACATTGTCGAAATAGCTATATCATTTATTAATTATACACAGAAAGTGTATACAAACAGTATACAAACTATACACAGAAACAGTAGTAATGCATAAAAATACCATAGCCAAAAAATTCATACTCACTTTTTTGAAGGGTTCATATGTACTAAAATCTCTAATGTCTTCTCGAGGATGCGATAGACCCAATACATCAAGATCAAACTGCAAAGAGTGGCCTACTAAGATTTTTCCTCGAATAAGAGCTTGGACCGCTCTTTGAACTACTCGACTATCTTCTCCAGAGTCCAAGTTATGTTTGTTAATGCCGCTAACGAACGTTCTATAGTCAGTTACTGGTAAAGTAGGTTTGATATATTTATCATAAAGGCCTTATCCTTTCGAGTTTACTAGTGAAACTCGTGCTGCTAAACTACGGTGTCCACTTCCAACCATTTCACAATCCATAGCAATATAATTATCCATTTTAAAAAGGCCGTCACGCTATTAAGACCGTCACGCTATTAAGACCGTCACGCTATTAGACCGTCACGCTATTGAGTAATAATAAATATGCCCGCAAATTTATAGCTTCAAAAGATAGTGCTGCCAGGTGCCAGTGCCAACTCTTATTTGCCAAACCTAAAAGAAAATTCAATAATGGAGAGTAGATATCTTACAACGATATTTAATCAACATATTTTTAAATTGAATTGTCAATTTCTCAGACACGTGAACAGGTTTTATTTAGGTAAATTTAATAAAAATTGAAATGTGTGTATTTTTTAAATATTACATAGTCTCATTTCGGTTTAAGGTTACCATAGTCTTCAATATTAATTTTATTTTATGCACATTCTCTTTATTTTATTATCATAAACCCCCAGATAAATAAAACCTGACTATTCGCACATTCTATTCCGCATATTCTGTAATGGAGTGATAAAGTACTTAATAAAAAATTCTATCAGAGTTCGTAAGAAATCTCAGATGAAGATCTATTTTTAGTTAGTAGTTAGTGAAAATTACTTTAGTTATAGATTTTCTTAGTCCCAATTTAATAGAGAATTTTTCCTCCACTACCTAAAGTTTCAACACCACTAACCACTAAATCAATATATTCCCCCACTAAAGGTAAATTTCCCTATACTGGCAACACTGTTAACTAATATGGTTTATTTACTGCTTCATTAAAATTTTTTGGCAACTCCCTACCATAGAGTAATATAAAAAACAAACAAAAAATAGACAAAAGAAAATTGCTGATTGAGTTTTTCAAGCAGAAAAAATAATTTCAAACAATAACGTGTGAAATTAATAAAATAAGTAAAGAATCGAATAAAAAAAAATATTAGTTATTTCTTTGATTCGATTTTTTTTGTTTTGGTCGAAAAAAATGTAACTTTGTAAAATTCCAATTTCAATTAATAATATCAGAATCGCCTCTTCCAGAGTGACCAAAAGAGGCTCTACAAATCTTTGGAGCGACCAATGAGCTGTGGAACGGGCCAAGGACCAGACCAGGCCGAAACTGTCGCCTTCTGGCGCAGCCTGTGGTCAGAGCCCGTAGACCACAGCGAGGGCCCTTGGACGCAAGTCGTGGCGAACCAATGCGCAGATATCACACCCATGGACCCCGTCGTCATAACACCCGACGACGTATCTGAGGCAGTCCGTAGAGCCCCGAACTGGAAAAGTCCGGGGCTCGACGGGCTGCATCACTACTGGCTGAAGGGGTTCGTGGTGTGTCATGCTGTGCTCGCCCGACAGTTCCAAGAGGCTCTCGATCAGAGGTCGCTCCCGACCCTCTTTACTACTGGGGTCACTCACTCGGTTCCGAAAGATCAGGTTACCACAGACCCGAGTAAGTACCGCCCCATCACGTGTCTACCCACCATCTATAAGACACTGACATCTGTTCTGAGCATGAGAATCACCCGACATATTAATATGAATCGGATTATGTCTCCTGCTCAGAATGGATGTCGGGGCTGCGGTCGTGGAACCAAGAAACCGCTTCTCATCGACGCGGTCATTGGAAAAATGGTTAAACGCAACCGTCGGAACTTCTCCGCCGCCTGGATAGACTACAGAAAGGCATTCGACTCTGTGCCCCATACATGGCTAAAGAGGGTCCTCGAACTGTACAAAGTAGACTGTACAGTAAGAGACTTCCGCGAGCACTGTATAGGGCAATGGAGTACGATCCTTTGTCATCTAGGCGAGCGGATGACGGCTGCGGAATACCGGATAAGGATACGACGGGGTATTTTCCAGGGCGACTGTTTAAGTCTAATATGGTTTTGCCTCTCCCTGAATCCTCTCAGCGTGTTACTGGGGGGCTCGGGGGGAGGATTTCAGCTTCGGAGAGGAGGGTTAAAAGTGACCCACCTTTTCTACATCGATGACCTCAAATTATTCGCCTCCAATCGCTCCCATTTGATGGAATTGCTTAAAGTCACTTGTGATTTCAGCAATTCAATCAAAATGGAGCTTGGGACGGATAAGTGTGCGGTCCTTCATGTCGAAAGGGTCACTAATACGGAGGGCATAGACTTATCTATGCCCGTTAACATAAGGACCCTCTCTGAGGCTGAAACATACCGATACCTGGGTATGTCACAAAACATGTGTATCGATGAGGCTGGCATGAAACAGTCAGTTCGTGATGTGTTTTTTGCACGCCTGACAAAGGTGTTTAATACAGCCATTTGTCAGGCGTGAACAAGGCACGCGCATTTAACGGCTGGGTCATGCCAGTCCTCATGTATACCTTTGGCATACTCAGGTGGACTCAAACTGAGCTCAATGCCCTGGACCGAAAAGTCCGCACAACTATGACGTCCCACAGGATGCATCATCCGAGATCGTCAGTGATGAGGCTGTACCTGCCGCGGAAGCACTGGCGGGAGGGGCTTTTTGAGCGCCCTTACCATGCACAATCGCGAGGTGTACAGCCTCCGCAACTACTTCGTGGCGAGATCGGATGAGTCAATCTACACGGACGTCATTAGTTGTGATAAAGGACTTACCCCTCTGTCCTTAGCCAACGAGCAATGGCAGGACCCGGGAGTACTGAGCGTTTCCGACCGGGAGGCCGTATGGAAGGAGAAAGAGCTCCACGGGAGGTTCTACAAGGCCCTACACGAGCCTTTCGTAGATACTACTGCCTCCCTTGTCGAGCTTGTCGCCATCCCGGGGAGTCGCTTCGGCATGTTATATATGTATTATATACAATATTTTTATCTATATGTTTAATTTTTATCTATAAACCCAACCAGGCGAGAACACAAATAAATATCCCCAAATAAAATATATATCTATGTTGTTTTTTTTTTATCTATAAACCCAACCAGACGAGAAAACAAAGGAATATCCCCAACATATTAATAATAATCGTTTATTTGTCTAAATATACATACACTGCACAAAATATTTAAAAAATAACATAAATAGAAAAAAAATAACAATTATTTAGACAAAATGGTCAAGGACTCAAAGTTGTAGCACGGAAGGTACACCAACTTTGATATTCTGTCCTAGCCAGACATAATTTACATAAAGAACACGCTTTATAGGTACTTACTAAAATATTGTACATTAACTATTTATATTAATATAACTATCCAATTAATAACTATTAACTATTATATTTAAAAGACTGGGTACTCGAAGCCAATAATTGCTGCATCAAAAGCCATTTTCGACATTTTATTTTAAAGGCACTTAAGGAGTAGATGTTACGAAGTGGAGGGGGCAAGTCATTCCAACATTTAGACGCAGCAAACTTAAAACTACCTCGAGTTTGCACAAGAGTGTGTTTTGGTAGGATAAGCGGAGGGGCTTTCAGCCTTGGATTGAACCGCGAGAAGTCTTTTGACCAGCTCAATTTATTATATAAATAAGCTGGTGCTTTGAATTTTAATAATGAATGCAGAAAGCAAGCAGTCTCAAGCGTCTCCTGTTATCCATTTTTAACAAACCCCTCTGATTTATATATGGTAACACATGGTGTCGTTTAGGTATCGAGCAACAATAACGCATGCAAGCATTCTGAACCCGTTTTATAGCTATTATAGTTTTTTGGAATAGACAAGGACCATATACAACATCACAGTAGCACAAGTTTGATAAGACTAAAGTATTACATAGCTGTAAACGTAATTTTTCATCAATGATATGTCTAATTTTATAAAGTGATCTAAGTGATGCAAAACATATTCTAATTTTACACAAAACATGTTCATGGAACCGTAGGTTTTCATCAATCAGAAGACCCAAATTACGTACACAATTCTGTCGGGGTACCAAGGAACCCATAATTTTAACACAAAGGTTTTTCTGCTTTAGAAAGTCTGTTTGATGCTTTGTTCCGCATATGATCGAAGTGCTTTTTTTCGGATTAAGGATTAAGTCATGTCGTTCCGACTAGGCTACAATTGCTTCGAAATCTTCATTTAAGTTAGATACAGCTGTTAACATGCCATCAGTAGTTAAGGGTGAATGTATATATAATTTGGTGTCGTCAGCGTAATGTACCTGCGAATACTGAATATCCCTATGTCCGATGTGTAAATAGCAAAGAGAATGGGACCAAGAATTGAACCCTGGATGACACCTTTAGTAATAGAAGCAGCAATAGGGCATTGAAAATCTACGCTGACCTGCAGTATCGACGCATTGGACTATCTGGCTCCGGTTTGTGAAATAGGATTTAAACCACTTCAGTGCGGATGTTGAGAAACCGAAATAATACAGCTTTTCTAATAAAATTGGAATCGAAACGCAGTCAAATGCACGTGAAAAGTCTAAGAGGACGAGAATAGTACCTAGTACTTTATCCGAAGCTGTTAGGATATCATCAACAATGTGCAAGAGCGCTGAACATTACAAACCTATGTAATGTTGTTTACGAAAGCCAGACTGTAGAGAAGGGATTATATTATTTTCCTTTAGGTACGGTAGCATCTGTTTAAGCACACATTTCTCAGCTACTTTTGAGAGTGCAGGTAAAATACTAATTGGTCTTAAGTCTTCCATACTCTCTACCTTTAGTATTTCTCTAATTTTAGTTTTATGGCTCCAATATATAACTTGATGATTCTGTCAATGTCAGGGTTAACTTTGTAAAAAAACGTAAAGAATTGTCTAAAACGAAGTTAACAACGGGTAAAAAAGGAACCCACTGACCACTGAGACTTGTCAAAGACACGCCTACTACACTACATTTATGACAGTTGATAGTTGCTTAGGTTGCATAAACAACTATCCATAGATAAGACATATACCAGTATATATTTCTTATCTATGAATAGTTGAAATACATTGACATGTCACTCTACAATTTCATGCTTCGTACTTTATACTATCCTTACCTAAGGTACACCATGGTATAAAGTGTTAAAAATATTTGGCATTCAACTACATGTTAAGCTAATTTATAAATAGCACGCGAAATATTAATTGTACCAACTAAAGTTATACTAACGTTAAACTTTTATATTTAAATAAAGTTAACAAAATTTTACTATAATCAACTTCTCATTAAGCTTTTGTACCCTATTCCAAGCCTTAATAATGAGAGAGCATACCTCGACTTCCGGAATAACACGTCAAAACTCACCCCCTTTAATAGCTATGTCGTAACTTCCGCCGCCATTTTGTTCCCCCACCATTGCACAGAGCTCAGCAGCCATGCGCCGTAGGCGCGCTAGCTTCATTGGCGTTCTTTGACTCGTCCGAGTAACACGGGCAATTTGAAGAAAGTGCTTTAAATTTTTAAAAAATGGAAGAAAATTCCGGCTCCAGTGTGCCGTTGAGTTTTCATGCCCCCGCGAAGTCCAGGCGTGCATCAAGTACATCTAGTGCCTCGTCATCCGCGTCTTCGAGTGCTGGACATCATCATAGGAAGAATCGCCGCCGCAACCGCAGAAATGATAAGCGTATGAAGCGTTTGGAAAAGGCAGTAGACAATCTTACTGCCACCGTAAGTACTATAGTAAAAGGTCAGTCAATACATTCTGTTCCTAAAATGCACGAGAATAGTGATTCTGACGCGCTGTCTATCTTGGTCCCCGACGATTCGGAGGCTTCTTTTAGCCACGATAAAACTGAAGGTAGTCAGCCAGTGCTCCGTAGTTTTGATTTCAAGCAGGAAACTACCCTCAAATCGACAATTCCGAAAATTTCTACCTCTCATGCAGAAACTTTGTGCAAGTTACAACACTTTGACACGATTGATTGGTCACGGGTTAGGTATGTAGAAATTCAAAAACAATACGTGTCTAGTCCAGGTTTTTTAGTGCTGGAAAGCAACGATATGCTTAAAATGTTCGATCGCAATAAAACATTAGCTGCAACAGAAAAAACTCTGGCCGCCGTTTCACATGGCTTAATTATTCAAAATGAAAAATTACTTGAAGGCCTTCAGAAGAAATTACTTTCATGGCTGGGTTCTACTCAGTCTTTGACCACTGACGATATTTTGAATAAAATAAATGAGATTTTTTCCGGCGAATACAATCAAACGCATTTGGATCTTTTACAAATGGTTTGTGGTCGGCGTGCAGACGTAATACAGCAGCGGCGTGATTGCGTTCTTAATTATGTTAAGGACAAAGGCATTAAAGAGAGTCTCAGAAAGATCCCTCCTACTATCAACCATTTGTTTAATGATGTACGGTTTTCAGACTGTATATCGAAGAATGGCGGCGTAGAGAAAGTTTTCATGCTGCCAGCAAGCAATCCTGCGCAAGGATGTGCCACTAAGACAACTCTTGCGCAAAGAGTACATCATATGGAGCAAAGAAGAGTATACTCTTCGAAGGCGCGTTCCCGAGCTCCAACAGCGCCTGCGACCAGCTCCAACGCACCGTTATCGCACGTTGTGTGTACAGAAAAATTCCGTCTAACGAACATGTTCACAGTCCCGGATTTTCTCCAGACGAACGATTGGATGATAAAACTAGACCTCCACAGTGCATATTTTCACGTGCCGATTTCGTCTCACCATCGGTGTTTCCTACGGGTGATTTTTCGCCATCATCTATGGCAAATAACGTGCCTACCGTTCGGTTTATCGACAGCACCAAAAATCTTTGCAACCCTTACAAACTGGGTCGCCGAGATTCTCAGAGCCCAAGGATTAAGACTCCTAGTTTATCTCGACGATTTTTGTCTCGTACATCAGGACAGGAAAGTACTGATCCAACAGGTGGAATTCACTGAATTTTGACTCACAATCAATTTCGAGAAATCCGTTCTGGAACCGCAAAGGTCTTTAGAATTTCTAGGCGTGCAATGGAGTCCCTGGACAAACAGGAAGAGTCTTCCATTGACCAAAGTCGAGAATCTGTTAGCGAAATCCAGAATCCTCTTATCGAGGAGGATGGCTTCGTTACGACAAATACAATGTTATCTAGGCCTGTGCAACTTCGCTAGCTTTGTAGTCCCCAGGGGTCGATTAAACTCTCGCCCAATACTGTCACACTGCCATCAGTTGTTGAAACAGAACCCCTGGACGGAATTCCCAATTCCCGGCCAAGTATTGATGGTGATGAGATGGTGGTTAGCTCACGCCCACAAACACTCTCTCCTTCATTACCCTGCCCCGGAGATGTTCCTAACAACCGACGCGTCAGTTCACGGTTGGGGAGCAGTATTAAACGATTTGAAAATGTCAGGCACGTGGCAGAGTCACGAAAAAGAGTTTCACTCCAACATTCTAGAGATGATGGCGATAGAAAAAGTTCTGAACCTACATGCTCGGTCCATCATGAACTCGTCACTACAGATCTTGTCGGACAATCGCACAGTGGTTTCTTATCTCCGGAACGAGGGAGGAACCAGGTCTTTACCGCTAATGAATATCACGGTGCGAGTTTTAAAGTTGTTGGATCGGTACCATATCCCCATGTCAATAAATAACCTCCCCGGCCGTTACAACGTGGAAGCCGACGGTCTATCTAGATTGCAAGCCAATTCGGAATGGCATCTGCGAGATCTGATGACTCATCAGATTTTTCAACATTGGGGAACTCCCGAAATAGATCTGTTCGCATCAAATCAGGCCCATGTAGTCCCGTCGTATGTAACAGTGGATCCATCAGATACTCAAGCAGTCTTCATCAATGCGTTCAGTCGCCTGTGGAATTACCGGATCGCATGGCTGTTTCCACCACCGTACATAGCTCCTCGGGTCTTAAGACATCTGAACAAATGCAAAGGAGTGTTTCTGATGGTTGTTCCGAAATGGACCAAGGTATTCTGGCGCAGCGACTTGATGGGAAGGTCTCTCTCCCCTCCAATAGAGATTCAAGACGTACAGGGAGCGTTGGTGGATGTGCGAACTCAGATGCCTCCCCCGGGTGCCAAGCAAATGATTTTGGAGGTTTGGCAGATACGGGGTGGAGCTCAATGCTTGGTTCATGGGACGAAAGTCAAAAAGGTCTATTGTTAGGTAGTTGGCGAAAATCGACCCTTTTTTTTTTTCATATACACCTGCTTGGACAAGGTGGTGTTCTTCGGCCTCGTCTAACGAAGTTTCAAGAACAGACCCTAGTCCTTCTGATTTGGCACGATTCCTTGCTTTGGTGCAACCAAAAGACCAAGTTGTCATACAGCTCAATCTGTCTTCATAGATCGGTAGTTTCAACCTTCTGTCCTAAAAATCCCCCATTAAGTAATCATGTCATTGTTAGACAAACCCTTAAGGCAATATCCTTGAGTAAACCTAGATCCCACAAGGCTCCTATTTGGGATGTCAAAGATTTGTGCAATTTTTTGGAAACTAATAGTCCGGTTAGTGAGTCCTTATTTGAAACTTCCAAAAGATGTGCCATTCTGCTTCTATTGTGCTCAGGACGTCGAGTTCATGATTTAACTCTTTTGAAGACATGCGATTCTTCTTGTGTAATTGAAGAGGAATCTATTCTGTTTTGGCCAGATTTTGGTTCCAAAACTGACAGTGCCAGTCATCGACAATCAGGATGGAGGCTAATTTCGTATCCATCTAATAGAAATATCGATCCGGTATATTGGGTCCAGAAATTGATTGAAGTATCCCAAATCAGGCGGGGTGATTGCAAAAATTTATTTATCACATCAGTAGGGAATGTTAAACCGGCTTCTCGCACCATTATATATATGCGGCTGGATTAAATCTGTTTTAAAAGAAGCTGCAATCGATAACTCTCCAGGAAGTGTTCGGTCAGCTGTCGCATCTTACAGCTGGCTTGAAAATCATAATATTGACGATATTTTGTTTCGAGGAAATTGGAAAAATGCGTCTACGTTCCATAGGTTTTATAAAAAGGAAGTTAAGTCGAGTAGAAATAATGGTACCGAGTTGTTAACTGTTTTAATCCCGTTTAATTTTTTGTTGATTCGAATTTATTTGTAAATAAGTTTGGTATAAAATAAACATCGTATAAAGGTCAAACTTAATAGTTTTATTTACTTCACATTGGCGTTTTCTCTTCAGCAGCCGATAACAAACACTTCTCATTATTAAGGCTTGAAATAGGGTACAAAAGCTTAATTGTAAAATTTTACCTAAAAATAAAATTTAAATTAAGCGATTTACCCTATTCCAAGCCTAGTTTTTATTGCTGTCTGCTTATAATTACAATCTTTTACCTTTCAGGAAGATTTCATTGTAAGTAATCATTTATCTAACCACAATCTTAGTTTCATAAGCTATCTTTCAGATTGAGTCAACATGCAGTATTAGTCTGTAAAATTTATATGTATCCTTACTACCACCAGTCATACCATACTGTGGTTTAATTTGCCACCAGTACATCTCATACTGTGGCTAACCGAATATACCATCCATATCCAATGGACGGTATACAATAAAAATAATGAGTTCCAATGAAGCTAGCGCGCCTACGGCGCATGGCTGCTGAGCTCTGTGCAATGGTGGGGGAACAAAATGGCGGCGGAAGTTACGACATAGCTATTAAAGGGGGCTTTGGGGGGGTGTTTTGACGTGTTATTCCGGAAGTCGAGGTATGCTCTCTCATTATTAAGGCTTGGAATAGGGTAAATCGCTTAATTTAAATTTTATTTTTAGGGAAAATTTTACAAATAAAATGGCAAATTTATAATATAATATCAATTTTCATAAAAAGTTCTTTGACGTCATAAAAAATATCATTTATCCAATGTAGCTATTTTAATATATATACCTTATTATAGTACAAAATCCAACACTCCGTCCACAAAAACACTAGTCATAGATAACAGTTTTTGAATTTATACTTCTTCGTAAGGGGAAAATTATGAGAGTTAATTTTTACGATGCGCGCGCTCACCGTCACGAAAAACCGACACCCTGAAGTTAGCCATAATCAATCAAAAGTAGAGTTTATGACAGCTGTCATAGAGTCCACCGTGCAAAATGTCCATTTCTTTAATTATGTAGAAATATATTTTTTGTAATATTTAAATAAACTTTATTTAACTAGATAATGCATTATAATAAAACTTTCAATGTATTTACCTAAATACCTTTTTTCTATTCTTAGTGTCGTTTTTTCTCCAAACATAGAATAAGACGAAAGATAACATTTTTGAAAAGATTTTTATCCTGTTACGCCAAAGAAGTATCTAACTTTTCTTCGTTCATTTTTATCTTTTACGGCTTTGTATCTGTTAATATTCAGCTGAATTAAATTTGAATGAAAATATTGTTTTCGATACGATTTCGATATTAAATTTATATATCGGATCATACTACATCGGGTAAAAATAATAAAAAAAAACAAAAATAGAGCCGTGATAGCTCAGTGTCCGGGCGCTCGCCTTTAATTCAATATACTCGAGCAACCTGAGTTCGATCCCCGGTGCCGGCACCAATGAAATTGTCAATTTTAAGTGCTGACTTATCACGTGCTCCGCGGTGAAGGACAACATCGTGAGGAAACCTGCATATTTTCGAAATAATAACAAAAAAATATATATTTCGAAGATATATGAAGTCCGCCAATCCGCAGTGGGGCCGCGTGGTGGACTATGCCCTGATACCCTCTGTATAGAGGAGGCCTTTGCTCATCAGTGGGACATGTATAGGCTGATTTTCACATATCCTCCACTGGTTTACATATTAATAATATGGTATTAAATGCCAAAAAAACCAGATGTATTCTTTTTACCCTTCCCAGTATAAGAAGGAAAAGTTTTAGTTTAATATTAAATAATGTACCCATTAATCCAGTTGTCTGCTATATTTCTGGGAATTACAGTAGATTCAAAGCTCCAGTGGAGTCCCCATATATCATCTCTTGCGAATAGGCTGAGCTCCGCGGTTTTTGCGATTAGAAGGGTTAGGCAGCTAACAGACATCGACACTGCCAGACTTGTTTACTTTAGTTATTTTCACAGCATCTTGTCTTACGGCATTTTGTTGTGGGGTAGTGCATCAGATATAAATTCTATATTTATTCTTCAAAAAAGAGCTGTCCGAGCAATCTACAATATCGGAGCCCGGAATTCACTCAGAGATCTTTTCAAAGAGGTTAATATACTCACTGTTGGTTGTCAATACATTTATTGTAATGTTTTGTATATACGTCATAACCTTAATTATTACCTAAAGAATAGTGACAGACATAAAATAAACACTAGAAATAAGGACAAACTTACTACGCCATTGTTTCGTCTACAAAAAGTAAATAAGTCGTTCATGGGGCAAAGTGTGCGCATGTATAATAAAATCCCACAGTCGATATTAAGTCTGCCGCTTGACCAATTTAAATGTAAAATTAAAAATCAACTGATGATTAAAGCATATTATACCATTTCGGAATATCTCGACGACGCCAATGTGTGGAGTTAATACTGTTGATACTCACGTAGGCTAGAATAAGACTATTATACCTGTATATTATATTGTACCCTGACATTTTTGAAAAAGAGCAACTGTTGAGTTTCTTGCCGGTATCTTCTCAACAGAAACCGCTTTCCGAACCGGTGGGACCTTACGAACCTATACACATAATCTTTGATGTAAAATTTGAAGATTCATAAGAGCGCGCAAGCGTCTATTTGAATAAATATATTTTTGATTTTGATTTTAATTTTGATACTTTACTTTTTTTTAATAAAAATAATGTTTCGGCATCAGCCATCAACCTTACGCAATGCAATCTTATTTACTTGCAAAAATGCAATTTTGCATAGGCATAGACAATAGACAAAGACAATTATATTATACTTTTATTTCTTTGCTTCATAATTCATTCTTATCTAATATTCATATATTTATAGATTTAAGTAATATGACTAGGTGTATTCGTCTAAACGTAGTGATTACATTCTCTTTGGTCTAATATGTTATACTTATATCGTTTCTTCATCATTTATTTAATAGAAAACATCAAATATTGAATATACTATTAACGTCAAGTTGAACTATGTATTTAAATTTTTGTTGAACATTCCTTTAAGATTTTGTAAAATTACAAAGTTTTCATAATGGGTGCTTTGTTTGGAAAATCTAAAAAACCTGTTAGCAGAGTGACAGAACAAGACAAGGCAGTATTACAGTTGAAGCAGCAGAGGGATAAATTAAAACAATATCAAAAGAAAATAGAGCTTAACCTTGAAAGAGACCGTCAATTAGCCAAAAAACTTCTTGCTGAAGGCAAACGAGACAGGGCAAAACTTTTATTGAAAAAGAAAAGATATCAAGAACAATTATTAGGAAATACCGACGCGCAATTAGAAAAATTAGAACAACTAACTCACGATCTCGAATTCACGCAAATAGAGCTACAAGTAAGTATTTTCTGCTTGATTAAAATGAAGTTATAATTTTTGAAAAAAGTATACAAAACATCAAACCTAAACTTCGTGATTTATTGTATTTAATATTTATAATTAATCTGTAATTTGTTATGTTGAACCAAACTTATATTTACGCGGTGGTTTTTAAATGTTGAGTAAAAGAGTAAATGATTTTCGAATTATATATTATATTGAACAAAAAGACGTAAAATTAAAATGTGCCATATTAGAGTTGTTTATGCAAGTTCTGTGTGTGCACTGTTCTCTATGATACACCAACTTGGATTTTACATTTGGACTATCTCCAAATGTAAAATCCAGGCCAGTAGTACAAACATAATACAATACCTTAAAACCCCTCTACTACCTAATATATACCTACATATTTTATTGTATGGTATTTATACCATCAACAATTTTCAACAAACCAAAGTATGCAATATCGGAGTTTTGTCTATTTTATACAGCTAAGTGTTAAGTATATGGGTCAATAATTCTTATTTTTATTTATTTTATAGGTGTTGGAAGGATTGAAGACAGGGAATGTTGCATTGAAGAAAGTTCATGATATCCTTAATATTGATGAAATAGAAAAAATCCTTGATGAAACCAAGGAGGGTATTGAAAAACAAAGAGAAATTGATGAATTAATTTCAGGACACTTGACAACGGAAGATGATGAAGCTATTGAAGCCGAGCTGGAATCTATTCTTGATATCTCTAATCAACTACCTGATATACCCACAGATAAACTACCTGGGATCCAAACAGAGGAGACACCTGTTAAACTGCAAAGAGTTAAAGATAAGCCAAGTAAAATTGCTATAGAAGCTTGAGGTATAATTTAACAGACCTAAAAGCTATAAATCTATACATATATAAATTTAACAAATGAAGACATTGTACATATAATATTTATAAATTATATTTTAAAAAGAAAGAAAATGTGTTATTGTTGACATACAACCATAATCTTATTTGAAGCTTACTTTTGAGCTTCTATATGGCTACTAGTTTATGATTTTCACCATGTTGCTATTTGCTATAAAGTTTTAATTATTTTTAATTGCATTATATGAACATGTAAACTTTTAAAATTTTACCATAGTTACATTTACTTATAAAATTGGGTATCATTTGCATTAATAATTACAAGTTATATATAACACTTAAGCGGTGGTGAAAACATTATTTTTAAGTGTCCCTTAAAGTTAGGAATTGATGGTGAAAATGGGCTTTAGAGTTTTAAGAAGTCTCTCTTCTGAGTTAACTCAATCAAGAGATATTTATTACCCATGGTTTATACAGCATAATTTGAGAGATGAGCATGTTTTTATTTATTAAATAATTTATGTACACTGTCTATCCAAAAAGAAATGTTATTACAAGAAAAGATTTGTATAAAGGCCCTTACTTCTTAAGAAAACGCTTCCAGCAGACCTCTGACTGGAAAATGGCCACAAATGGTAGTTAATGGTGTAGAAATAATAATAATACAACATAATAATACAATAATAAAAAAAATGTATATAAAGCAGTAAAGAGCCATGATAGCTCATTGTCTGGGTGCTGGATTTTAATTCCATATACTCAAGCAACTTGAGTTCGAACCCTGGTACCGGTTCCAATGAAATTGTTAATTTTACATGCTGAATTATCACATGCTGAGCGGTAAAGGAAAACATAGTGAGGTTCCACTGTACTGTATTATATACTTATTGGGCTATGTTGTAACTGCTCCCCCCTCAGAACAGCAAATATTTCAGAACTTTGATCAAAAAATTTGCTGGTAATCCCTTTTCGTTTTCGATTCTCCAGGCTTTTCATAGCTATGCTGCATGTGGTTCTAGACCGGTTCTTGCTTTCTAGTCTTGTGGTAGTAATACGCTGAGATTATGATAGCCAGTACTACTATTTTTTTATGTGAAAAAGTGGCGGTTTACCTGATGTTAAGTCATAACCGCCGCCCATGGACATTTGCAACATCCGTAAGGTTGCAAATACGTTGCCACCTTTAAATAAAGTGGGCCTACCTCACTCACCAGACGAAACGCAGAAGTGTAACACTTCTACTTTACGCCGGTCTTCTGTGAGATCGTGGTACTTACCCGGACGGACCTGCTCTTTCGTGCGACAGTGAACACTGTTGCGTAGCCTACTATTAGTCTAATATACTATCATAATGATCTTAATGATCAGAGTGATAAATTCAAATAGTTGAACAATCCTTTTGGCCACTCAAATTACATTTGAAAAACCATTTAACAGGCGATTAGCTGTTATTACTTCTATGATGATTAGTGTGACAAAAAGCGGGCGTAAAAGCTAATATATTTTCTTACCTAATAAGTTCATTGAGCATTTTACGGTATTGTCATATTTAGGGGCATCCAAATAATTTAGATCTGTGTAGCTGTACCTCTAACAGGGTTACTTTGTCTCTGTTGCCGTCGAGTTTTACATGTTGAAGAAAGGTACAAGGGCGGTTCCAGATGGGGGTCATGACCCCCCCCTGGGCTGGGTCCAGGGCCTAGGTGGACCACAAATTAAAATTGTTAAACATAATGTTTTTATATATTTTTTGCCACAATATAGATTTTATCTAAGTACCTTTAATATTTAATTAAATTAATAGTACCCGGAGGACCGCTTTTGGAGCTTTGCTCGGTTGGTTTTTTTTTTTTGGTAAATCGTGTATTTTGGAAATTACATTTAGATACAAATTACTGAGTAATGAAATATGCATAATATTTTTCGATCTTACCGACTTAATAATGAGAAAATATGAACTGATGTTTTTCACAAAAGAAAGAACTTTAAAAAAAAGGGAAAAAAATAACAAAATAACAAATCGACAAAATATTAAAATAAAGAAAGCAATGATCTGGAATCGAAAAAAAGTAAAAAAATAAATGTGTAAATGATCGTGACGCGAACCACGGCCGTCTGTTTTGGGGCCGCCCGATTACCGACCGAGCTATTATGACATTTTCTCCTGCGGCGAAATTTACCGTCATAATCGAATTATATTTTTCATTCCCTGAAAACAGGGATAAAAGGACATTTTCTAAAAATGAAACCTAGCTAGATCGATTTTTCGCCCCCCCCGAATCTACGCACATACTAAATTTCATGAAAATCGCTGGAGCCGTTTCAGAGATTCCGATTATATATATACAAGAATTGCTCACCTAAATTGCTTTTAGACATATCGGCTGCTTGACTCATAGTACCAGAGTAACAGATATTCGCAGGTCGACGAAAGTTCGTCGCGTACGTAACACTTTCAAAGCCCGAGACAGCAACGGTATAATATAGCTGTTCTACTTGCCGTTAAGAAAGGGGTGGAGTTTTCCTAGCAGCCATTCGTAGATGAGGGGATAGAGAAAATGAAATAGCGACTCATGGTTTCAATTTATTTCTTCTCTCGCTTCAACAAGTTCAAGTTCCTCACGACTCTATCGACGGTATCGTCCATTCATATCTTCTTTATTTGCTGCACTCCTAATATTCTGTCCAGATTTATTTGAGTAAATTTAGACAAAAGTTAGTTGTTATTTCAATAAACGATTATACTACCGAGTCTGAACCTCCTGTGTGAATTTGGGCACCTTTATAAATGCCACCCTGTATATGTATGTATATGATAATAAAAAGTAACGAAATGTTACGAACAAAAAAGAATTTTGCAAATCCGTCTATATATGACGAAGGTATGCCCGAACATACCTACATTAAAAAAATATAAGCAACCGAATTGATAACCTCCTTCTTTTTGAAGTCGGTTAAAAATAAGTTCCTACTTTTTACTTGTATCTATGATTATAAAAATTTAACTATAACTTCTTATCACTTGACCACGACTACGTGACCCCCCCTGGCACCAAAGCTGGATCCGCCCTTGGAAAGGTATGATGATGGGTTATGAGAGTAGTTGGTCCATATCTAAACGGTAGTAAGCCCGGTCCGTCTTCGAGGTATTCAAGTTTTATCTCCTGGGCTTCAGTCGTCAGTACGGTCAGTAAAGTCAGTACTGCAGTATTTTTAGAGTCATAATTTTAATCTCGGTTCTGTCGGGATCAATGTCGTGATGTATCTTGGCGTGTCTTGGGCAGTTAGTTGCAGCAGGGCTTTGAAAGTGTTACGTACGCGACGAACTTTCGTTGACCTGCGAATATCTGTTACCCTGGTACTATGAGTCAAGCAGCCGATATGTCTAAAAGCAATTTAGGTGAGTCACCACAACATGAACTTAAGACTCCGCCGCGATATGTATTTGCGCGTAACAAAAACGTGACATCGGAGGATCTACTGCGCTTTAATGAGGAAATAAAACATATTTAGAGCAACTAAGAGATCAAAAATATTATGCCAATCGTGCAAGAAATAAAGCAGACAAATACAAATATAGAAAATTCAATTGCTTTATCTGGCCAAAATCTAGAGTTGAGTAATAAAATCACCCAACTGGAAATTGAAAGGACAACCGGGAGTATATAATTATTAGAAGAAAAAATGGAGCACCTACAAATAGGATTACGCAAATCTAATTTAGAAATTAAAAATGTACCACAAAAGAACAACGAGACCAACGAGGATTTGACACATCTCTATCAAGTTTTGGGTCTCTCCGCTACTGTCGGAGTAAACTTGCGTAAGGAGGACATTAACAACTTACGACATATACAGAGTGCGGGATAAAAAGGAGTGTGTTTCCGTACCTCAGAAGACATCGATGTATATAAATGTGAACAACTGACACCGAACGGGTTCAGCTTGCACTTTCTCGCCAGAGATCTCGCTAACTAATAATATCATAAAAACTACAGATTTTGCAACTGGGGGAATCATTAAGACACCTCAAGTCATAACTATAAAGGATAGAAGGAAAATCACCTTATTCATAGCGAATGGGTAACAAAAATTTTGAAGTCCTATAAAAACTATCATAAGAGGACAAGTAATTAATGTGGTATTAAAGTTCCATTTTCATCTCCACCATAGCAGATGTTATGAAAAAATATGAACAATCGAATGTTTTTTTTAAAATTTGTAGAGTATAGAGGATTAGAGAGGAAGGGAATGAAGAACACATTTTACTTTCATATTTTAATCTCATTCATATCAAATTACTGAACATAATTTAAGACTTAATGTACACTATTGTGTTTATTAATTATGATTTTTCTATAAAATATAAATTAGTGGGACATGTTAAAGGTATAAATTACCTTATTTGTGTGATACAAAATTATCCCAATGAATGATTATTTAAGAAAACATAAAATATCAGACGATTTAAAATCGTTTAATACCTCTCTCTTTTAATCATAACATATATAATCAAATTCAAGTTTACATAAGATATATTCCTATTAGTCTTAAGTTTGCTACAGATTAAACTAAAAAAAGTTAGACCTAACTATGTACAAGTAAATACAAACTACAATAATTATGTTTACAAGCTGTGTGTACAACATTTATATCGGAAGTGATTATAACACCACTCCGTTTGCCGATTCGCAGAAATTTAAGCTATTCAATCACATGGCAATTTCTATTATACAAGTTTTACCTCTACATATTTCAGCAATCTATCACAACTTGTACTGTACACAAATGGCAAAAAAAAAAACCTAAAAATATTTAAAAAAAAACCTCCACAAATTTAAACTCAATTTTCAAAAACCGAATAGAGACTTAGTTTTCATTGTGATGTGGTCCCAAATGTAATGACAATATCATTCCTCTAGATTTCATTTTCTCTTTTTTATTTTTCAATTTCACTTAACAAAACTTATATTTAATTTTACCATGACAGTTGTCCATTTTCAGTTACATTTGTAAACCTAATTGTTAATGTTATTTTTGTGAGTGCAAGTTCTTAAAAAAATACCTAGTTTGTATCAAATTAAATTAATGATTGTATAAAATTTTCCTGTACAATTCTTTCCTTTAAAGAGGAAACAAACCTAACAATTTATTATTATCTTGGGGATATTCATTTGTTTTCTCATCTGGTTGGGTTTATACATAAAAAATAAACGATATAGATATATATTGCATATATAAAATAAATAATATGAATAAAAATAAACATATAGATATTAATATTGTATATAATACATATATAAATAGGACCCAAACCAGGCGGCAGGGAGACCAAACGGCCAAGGGTTAGGGTGAAAAGGAGAGAAACCGGCGGACGATGCAGGCGGTATCGAGGAGCACCGCCTTCTGCATTAGAGCTTATTATTATTATGAGCATTGTAATTTAACATGCTCACAATAGTTAAGATTTCCATCAACCCAATTTCAGTATCTAATGGAAAGATGTCATGAAATGATTGTAGCTTTGATTTTATTTTCGAAGTTGTGCATTAAACAAATTTTTCCTTTTTTTTTAAAGAAAATGAAATGTCTGTATGGATCCCACATTAGCAATATATGAATGTTCATAAAATGTGAAAAGTAGAAAATATTAACCAAAGGAATGTAATTGACTATCAGGCCATAGTGTGAAAGACAATGAATTTTTTTCTTTCAATTAATAAACATAATAGGATAAATTTAATGTTCAGTCAACCTATTATAAAAAGTTGCACTTAAACAATTTTGACAAAACATGTCAAAATATGAAAGTAATTTCATCTCAACTGATTTCTTTTTACAAATTTTACAAACATTTTACACTACTGCATAGTGAACATATAAATACCATTTACAGATTAACATTTCTAATGTCTGATTTTTCTTAAATCCTACTCTGAGAATAGTAAATAACTCAATAATACATTTTGTACATAATTCATACCTATGGCAGTTATTTTAGCGCCTTTACAAAGTCCATGGTTGCTATGTAATTTATATTCAAACTTGAACAACTTTCACGTTTCCATGTTTATCACTTTTAATGCGTCCTGCTAGAATAGTTGAATTGGTGAGTCAGGTACTAGGAAATCATTGTCTTGCAGTTGTCCATTAACAGAAGTAAGTCATCAACATTGCAGTGACTCCGTGCTGGATCACTGTGCAATGGCTGTTGCTAGTAATTGACGGTGACGGGATGATGGGAAATCGCGTTGCCTGCGTGATGTTGCGTACTTGTTGTGTGGGTGAAGGTCGTTACACTAGATGCATTTGATCCGGATCCAGTGCGAACTTGCTGAAATGTATTTAAAAAAACTATTGGTCACTTGCTTTATTTTATGTGAACTCTTAAACTCATGATTCAAAGTAATTCACAACCTCTTCAATTCTTAAGAAGTACAGAAGCTGTTGTAAAGATTACCATTGTTTTTTAATTTAATGTTGTAACATTGTGTGTTTATTCAAAAACTGTTGGTACATCATCCAAATAATAATAAACTATATGTTGTTTAATATTTTGGATGCTGTATTAACAGTATAAATGCAAATAGGATCATTTCTTAAATTTATTCTATTGTTAACTTTAAAAAAAAAAAGAAAGTAGAGAATCACCCTATACATGTTACACAGCTGGTCAATGGGCTTCTCTGTACAGAGAGTATGAGGGCATAGTCTAGTAAATAACCCTGGTGTAGGTTGATAGACTTCACATATCTTAGATATATTTTTGTTGTTGTTAATTATTATATTAATATTATTTGTTTATTACTATTTCTATTTAGCTCATCTAGCTCAATATAATTAATTAAAAGCAAGCCCCCAGATACCAAGCTGTCACGGCTCTCAATTAGTTTAAGATCTATAAATAGTTTAAAATTTATACACACTAACCTGGTTACTTATTTGCATAACTGTGTTATTTTGAGAATTTTGTGTGACATCCTCTTCTGCCGGTCGATTTTCATTAACTACTCTGTGAAAATGTACAAAAGGAAAATTGGTCATGTTCCATAATTTTGACAATGATTTTTGAAGTTTAATGAAGGCATAAAAAATATCTTTAGTTTTCTGTTCTCAAAAATATCTACAACTATCCACAAACCTCTCCATGGAAGCATCCTTATGCTTCCTTAAGCATATTCGCAATTTAAAATCACTCGCGTGTATTTAATTTGTAATTTGTTATAAAAATCGTAAGAAAGTGATAGTTAATTATTGCAAATTATTTACATTAGCAAAGAATATTGACTTCAAAGTCGGGGGTTGTGAGTTCGATTCCCACATAGAACAAGTATTTGTGTGTGCCTCACAAACAACTGTTCCAGGTCTGGGCATTTGTTTCCCAAGGAGGATTGAAGTTAGGCAGGCGATTCGGTCGTAAAAACATAGCCAAAACAGCTTATAACAAGATTCACAGGTTGTACTAACCACACCTAGGTGGGATAAGGGCAGGAGCATGATTCATCATCATGGTGAATGTCAAAAACATTTAACACCCTATATTTTATCATTAAAATGTATGCTAAGGGTTAATTACCCGGAAAATTAAAAAAACTTAGGGGAAGTTAAAGCAAAATAATTCTTCTTTATATGAAAGCAGGATCTAAGCGTTATATTCACTATTCACGCCGTAAAGGCTCAAATATAAAAATTAGATAGTTTAGATGAAGTTATAGTTGTTGTTATGAACTACCTCGATTAATTCACAACAAATTAAAAAGTATGAATACACAATTTTACGCCTCTTGTCTTTCTTTTTCCTCAAAACATAGATGTTTAGTGGGAAATTACCTGATGTCATGTTTGCGTTCTGTCCTCTCAGTGTTGTTATCCTTGTCACAATCACCGCATTGCTCGACGTCGGCAGCTTGTTCATTATTCGCCGCAGTTTCACCCGTCGCCGCGTGAGTGCGCTGGTGTGATACCAAATGCCCTAAAAATGCAATTGTGAGTTGTCTTTTAATGAAAAGTGGCATTGAAAGAACTTATTCGTTTACATAGACTGTCCTTATCAATGTTTACAAATATAACGTAAGATTATTATTAAAAAAAAAACAAAACCATCTTCAAATATTTCACTCACTATTAACATTTCATAAATGATGGAGTTCTGAGGTGTCAAACAAAAAAATTCACAAAAAAACTACCAAATTGTAGAACCTAATCTTTTATTGGAGTCCATTTTGAAAACCACTTTATGTTCATGAATAAACTAGTTTATCGTTTCATGTACAGTCCAACTTCTATGTGAACGTGAACTATGTGATGAAGAAATTATCTTCAACGAATTTAAATTGACTGTTCTATCGACAATGTGAACAGTTGAAATTATATGAAAATTGAAAAATATTACATTTTATCAACTAGTTCATCATAGATTTTTTTATGTGAAAAGTTGCCAAGCGATGCTACTGTGTTTCTTTCTGTGAGGTAATGGTACTTCCCAGCATGGACTACCTCATTCGTGTTTTTAAAATGTTCGGAAAGCAGAAAACACTTAGATTTTGGATTGAAAAGACTTAAGCAATTTTTCAGTGTGAGGATCCCCAGAGGACCCAATATAAACAAAATAAACAAAACGACACAAAGGACCCAATATAAACAAAACGATTTTTTATGGCTTACCTAACTTAACTGTCTGCCCCCTCATATATGCAGTTAAATATTAAACAATTTTAACTTAGATGGAAAAAGTTCAAGTTTACGTTTTATACCTTTACAAATGAAGTCCTTCGAACAAACATCACATCTAAATGGTCTATTTCCACCGCCGCCTTTTTGATGCGATCTTTCATGGAATAGCAAGTTGCCTTTCAATGGGAATGATTTTCCACATTCCCCGCAACTAAACGGCCGTTCTCCACAATTGTGTGCTCTGTAAAAAAAAACAACAGTAGACTAAATACAAAGGTGATCTTTAAAAATATTTTGATACTTTGCTAATATGTACACTTTTAATAAAGATATAGGCTTTGTTATGCTTAATCAGGTTGAGATGATTAAAATCGCGATTAAGATCAAGTAATTTATTTGATTAACATAATTAATTTAACTCAATACTCTTCTTAATGTAACATAATCAACCCAAACTTAATAAATATTGAAAGAGTATCATCATAGTTTAATTTATTGTACACCAAAATGAGTAATCCGTTTTATCAATTTTAAGTCTTTGTGTCATTTTAAATGCATTGGAATATTAAATTTTTATTCAGTAATCGGAAATGTTTCTTAGAAATACAGATTTTTAACGACCATGCAAAGTTGAAAAATTATAAAAATTTTATTAGCATCAAAAATTTACTTTTTCACAGGTAAATAACGAACCTCATATGAGTTACAAGGTGCTCCTTTCTTGTAAAAGGCTTGGAGCAGACTTTGCAGGCATGAGGAGTATCCCCTGTGTGTTGTTTTAAGTGGTTGATGAGATGTTCTTTTCTTGTGAATGTTTTGTCGCAAAATTCGCATCTGTGAGGTGATTCCCCGGTATGTATCCTAAAATAATGAAAATGTTATGATAGTACAAAAACACATAATAGAATGGAGTGTATTGATAGCAAATAATAACATTTATGGTGGTTGAACAATATTAAATTAATTTTATCTGTAGTGTCATCATCATCCTCCTGTCTTCATCCCACCTAGACGGGCTCAGCACAACATGTAATTCATGTTGTAAGTGCTTTTGGCTAGTTTTTTTACCACCTTTAGGACCCTCTTCAGAAACTAACACCCATATCCGGAACAATTGTCTGTGACTCACACGAATACTTGTGGGAATCGAATCCACAACACTTAGCTTCGAATTCCATAGCTTAGCAACTGCACCAAGAATGTAGTATAGTAACTAAAATTAAGATTTCAGCCTAATAAATCATTTTTGCACATAGATTGTACTTAGAGAAATCTTTTATTTATTTCTTTCTTATTGGTGTGTTAGGGTCAGGCAACAGTGTTTGTTGTTGCACGAATGGGCAGGTCCGTCCAGGTTAGTACCACAACCTCACAGAAGACAGGCGTGAAGTAGTATTACACTTCTGCGTTTCGCCTGGTGAGTGAGGTAGCCAGGGTCCACTTTATTAAAAGGTGACAACGCATCTGCAACCCCACGGGTATTGAAAATAGCCAGAGGCGGCGGTTATCACTTAACTTATCAGGTAAACCGCAAGCTCGTTTGCCACTTTGTCACAAAAAAGAATAGGAATGTAGGGAAATATAATAACAAATAGCATAATTTTCTTTACGAATAAGCATTCTAATAATAAGCATGGTAATCTAAAACAAATAATATAGAGAGAAAAAAATCACCTGACATGGTTGGTCAAATGTTCCTTCCTGGAGTAGGTTTTAGTGCAGAAGGGACATCTATGTGGAGTTTCACCAGTATGAAGATGCACATGATTTGTCAGATGCTCCTTTCGGGCGAATGCCTTTGCACAGTAAGTACATTTGTACGGCGTTTCGCCCGTATGTTGTCTGTGATCAATACATTCCGATTAAGAACCCTACTTTCTTGGAATATGAGTGAAAAAATGCTAGAATAGCAAAGCATTTGGGTTCCAATCGGAATGTAATGTTGAACCATAAGAAAATTTACCTCACTTTTGTTGTTAGCAATTGCCAATTGGACCCCAAATGCTCGCGTACTATGAGGTGTAACTATTTAAGTGTAGCGTGGTTCACCTCTATGGAAGCAACATTAACGATTTCACTGTCAATGATCAATTTAGTTCAAAAGACAAAATCAAGATGAAAATTCCACATCCGACAATGTTTTCACCACATTATGCTCTGTTAGATCGAGTTGATTTTTTCAATGTAAGAGTGTTGAGTTTCGGAACGTTAATTTTGCACCCGCAGAGCGCCACCCCGATACAAGATACCAACCGGACGTGGTTGATGAGGTGCTCCTTGCGCGTGAAGCTCTTGCTGCAAAAGGAGCAAGAGTGCGGCGCGTCGCCGGTGTGCTGCCGCACGTGGTTGTTCAGGTGCTCCTTGCGCGAGAAGGCGCGCGGGCAGTACGCGCACTTGTGTGGAGTTTCGCCAGTGTGCTGTCTGCGCAACAGAGTACATTCCGATTTGATCCTTGTCACAACGGATTGCAGCGCTTCGAGTGAATGCAAGTTTCGCTAGTGTGTATCGAACCGTAACGGTTTTGCGTAACACATTGACGTGAATAAAGTTTTTTGATTGTGTTACGTTACGAGCTATGGGAACGGACGCCATTATTTTTAATTACTTTTAATCAGACACTAATCGCTGCAGCCTTTGAATTATATTTGGAAACGTTAACCATATTTTAATATCTTACTTATTAAGGACATTTTAATGTACAATATTCGCTGTTTCCGTTGTATATTATCGCCAAGCTAGTCTCTATTAGCGTATTAATCTGCGACAAGCAATACGGGTGGGGTCGATGAATGTGTCACTCCACATCAGAGTTCAAATCGGAATGCACAATGCTGTGCTACGACGCGACGTTGCGTTTTATGGAAACTTCACACAAATGCCGTAAGGGGCTTGTATATTTAACCATTGATATGGAGAGCCCAATAGCGTTTAACTTCTACTTCAGTATAGACGCGGTTATAGAACAACAATGGTCATAGAAAATCATGCAAATTCATGCAATCTACTTGGCACATGCCTGCTGGATTGGAAATAATCTACTGTTACCCAAGAGAAAGATTGGTCTTATTCAGAGCTTGTAGCACAGCATTGGCAATTTATATAAAATAGGTGAAAAGAGTAAAATATAACACAGTCTAATACATCTAATATACTGAGCTATGTACTACCACATATCCATGTTTAAGAAAAAAGTGAGATATAAGCGAAAAATAAACAAAATTAATAGCTCCACTATTCTAACATCTTCTAAAACTACTTAAGAAGAGTTATTAATTACTAAATCACTTTATACTTAAACTATGTGGGGGTTTTCTCTACCTAACCATACAATAGAGTATTTTAGATACCTGATATGGTTTGTGAGATGTTCTTTTCTAGTGAAAGACTTCGCGCAGTAAGTGCAGCGATGCGGGGATTCCCCGGTATGTTGTCGTACATGATTCGTCAAGTGCTCCTTCCGAGTGAAAGATTTCGAACAAAACGAACACTTATGTGGCGACTCCCCCGTATGTTGGCGAACATGATTCACTGCAAGTGGACAAAATAGCATTGTTCATCTTACAAGTTAAGCTTCTTGAATAAGACGGTTGTTGCAGAAAACTTGAGAGGTATTCTTAAATATGTGACGATTGGATTTGTGGATTTAAGATTGTTTCTCAACAAGCGTCGTTGCTATGCTTCACGTGACGGCGCCATGGGTATGCTTCCGTATGCTTTTGTATATTTGTTAATAGTCGTCTTGGGTTAATAAAATTAAATAATTAAGATGGGTTATTAAAAGACTACTGCAGAGGTAATCAAAAATTAAATAAAAGTAAAAGATATTTTTACTTTCTATAAAACATAATGAAACTGAAGAAAAAGAGAGAATAAATGAATAGCAATTTTATAGCATGAGACAGCATTATGAAATGCAGATTATATCAAAAACTAATTATAAAGGAAGATATGAGAAAAAAAGTAAAATAACAGCCTATACATATCATCCCATTGCTAGGCAAAGGCCTCCTCTGTCCCAAGGGTATATCAGGGCATAGTTCACCACGCGGCTCTATTGCGGATTGGCGGACTTCACATATATTCGAATAATTTTCTTTCGTTAATGTATGCAGGTGTTCTCACGATGTTTTCCTTCACCGTTGAGCACGTGATAAGTCGGCACTTAAAATTAATTAAAAAAATCTATCGGTGCTGACACCGGTGAACGAACTCAGGTTGCTCGAGTATATTGAATTAAAAGCGAGGAAAATCACAAGATACATTCGATGTGAACTCTATTGTATAGGATAACGTTATAAAGTTGGCAAAGGACGAGGGAAATGTAAACAGCTGTTGTGCAATGTTTACCCAAATGGTCCTTCCGGGTGAACGCTTTGGGACAGTATCCGCACTGGAAGGGTGTCTCGCCGGTGTGCTGGCGCACGTGGTTGACCAGGTGCTCCCTTCGCGTGAAGGACTTGGAGCAGTAGGTGCAGCGGTGGGGCGACTCGCCCGTGTGCTGCCTCACGTGGTTCAGCAGGTGCTCCTTGCGGGTGAAGGTCTTCGAGCAGAAGTCGCAGCGATGCGGCGTCTCGCCTGCGACGTTCAATTGAAACGCTTACTTTAGTTAAGTGAAGTAACAGACTATAAATGTCCCATTAATGGACAAAGGCCTGCTCTGCACGTAGGATTCTGCGGAGTGGCAGACTTTACACATGTTCGCAATATTTAACTTTTGGTCTCATTTGAAAAATATGCATGTTGCCTTACAGTTTTGTGAGGGGAGGCAGTGTGAAAAAGAGTTTATTGCCAAACCAAATATTTAAAGTTGTGGTCATACCGTCAAAGTCAAAATTATTTCATTCAATTTAGGCTTGTTCCAAATTTTACTTAAGTCAAATCATAAATATTACATAAAAAGTAAAGTATCAGCCTATACATATCCCACTGCTGGGCAAAGGCCTCCTCCGAACAGAGGGTATCAGGGCACAGTCCACCATGCTGCCCCACTGCAAATTGGCGGACTTCACATATCTTCGAAATATATTACTCGAAAATATGCAGGTCTTATATATAAAAATATATTTGACAGTAACTTCAGTGCCTCTCCTTCTAACAGTATGTTCTTACACTGAATACCTTGTTACAAATGTCAAATGTAAGGGTAAAATATTGAAAAGTAATTTAAATGTTTATTAGTTTTAAAAAGTTATACCCTATATGTGTCTTCATTTAGTGTCGCGATTGTAAAGACACGCTGTATAAAAACATATTAAGTGATTTTTTTATGTAAAGAATAAATGATTTTTTTTAATTTTATTAGAATTGTTCTTTATATAAGTCTATACTGTAAATTACACAGATTTAGCAAAACATTCAACTCATTCATTATGAGTTATTGTAATATGTTTAGATAACTTTTCTTCCATTCATTTTCAGGGTATGTTATAACACACCTAATATGGGAAAGGATATTAATTTGGTCACCTCTAGAAGGATTAAGTAAAATACTATTTTTTAAATTTCAATAGTAATTAAAAAACCTATTTAGAGTTGCCAAACAAGCTTTTAACAGTAATATAATAAACATATAATATAATAAAAATAATTCGGAATGGCACAAGGCGTGGTTAAAAAACCTTAAAAATTGACGATGTATGTAATTTTTATGTTGTTCTGGTATTTAATATCGAAAAGTCTAATTTATGGATTATCTACGCGCTGCGTCGCCATATCCCCACCGTTCCGCTACCGCCTATGTTTTGTTGTGCGATACTTTTAATTTTACTTTATTTCATAAGTTATTAGTTTATATTGTGTGGTATTAAAGACGATTATAACGTACATGAAATGCGAATAAGGTAATCAAAGTATTTTATTTTATTAGGACAAATATCATATCTTTAGACAGATAACAATGATAGCTCTCTGTCTAATGAAGTTCTAAGTCTTTTTTAAATTATTTTAAAAATTAATATGGTTATAGAAAGCTATCAGTGAAATATATGCCATTTGACTTTTAGTCCTCCTAATAAAGAGGATTAAATTCCATCAGCATTATTTATTATATTTCAAAAGAATAAGACAGCATTTTTAATGAAAGCTGTCAGTAAGCTTGATGTCTTGTTATATCTTGAACAATTACACATATTTTAACAAATTAGAACAAAACAATATTATATAGCTTTATTTTACATGTAAGGTTTTTGCATTGCAAAAGTATTTAATATTGAGAAGAATTAGTTGATTTGCAATGCTATATCAACAAGGAAGATTATAAAATATAATACACATTGACATGGGTGATATTAAATCAGATCAGTAAGTATTAAAGAAATCAATACTGGATGGGAGAAAGAGAATAAAATAGTTAAGTCACACATGCATGTTAGATCTTAAAACAGTTGCTTTATTTCGGAAAAACCAAGCCTGACACCAATGTTGTATGGTCTACATACTAATTTGCGTGGATACCTATTTTTAAACTGAGCTGCACATTACGACAATGGCTGTACAATATCAAAGCTATACTGACCCGTATGCCACAGTATGTGATTGGTGTAGTGTTCCTTTCTCGTGAACGACTTGCCGCACAATTCGCATCGGAACGGTGTGTCATTTGTATGAGATCTCATATGGTTGACTAAATGCTCCTTCCTAGTATACTTCTTGCCACACATTTGACAATGATGCGGCGTTTCACCTATTTGGGTGGGGCAGAAAATAAATAGTTAAAATTCAATGATGCAACTATGTTACTTCTTTTGAGACTGTAATATTTAACTATTAATTGTTTGAAATCCCCTGAATTCTCACAAATGTGTATTGACCAATAACTATATATTGAGAGCAATTTCCTTTGATCTACTATAAGTTTATAATTTTGTTACGTAAATAGTTGAATCATTCAATTCTACTTTCTGCACCACTTTTACCATGACTAAGGTGCAGGCTTGGAAATTCCATACTACATAAAGGGTGCAAGAAGCAATGTAAATAGGAATTAAATCAAAATTATCAAGTCGATCAAACAACACTACCTGTTAATCTGAACAAATGTAATCACTATAGAAATATAAATAGTTTAAATGATAATGATGAAGGAAGCTTATTAAAATGAACATAGTATAATATTCAGAAAGTAAGGGATAATTTAAAAAAAAAAAAACTGATATTGATTGTCTTACCAAAGTTACCAAAGAGTTATATGCAACATTACTATATTACAATTAATGCTTGTTTGAAATATAAAAATAACAACGGACAATAAATTCTTAAGGAAAATAAAGAGATTTTTAATATATTATAAACAAGTTACTTTTTATAAGGAGTTCAAAGTGCTGTACCTGTGTGCCACATTACATGGTTCATAAAGTGTTCTTTCCTTGTAAAGCTCTTCTTGCAGATGTCACAACGATGTGGTGTCTCCCCAGTATGCTTTCTGACATGATTCACCATATGCTCTTTACGTGTGAATGTCTTAGCACAGAATTGACACCTATGGGCATGTGTAAATATTAAAATTTAGTTACTGTAGCAAGTAAATTTTATTTTTTAAATTATTATGGAATAACTGTGCACATTAGAATTATATAACCATGATAAGAAATGCGATTTTATTGTGACATTTGCTTAAAGCTTTGATATGGTAAATTAAAAAAAAGTAAATGTCATATAAAACCCATTCGTGCCAAGTTTAAATTGCCTAGCACACAGGTGAGGCGTCATTTCAGAACCGTATGCAAAATCATCGGAAGCACATGTAATTTTACAAATTTTTACAAATTTGGTCCCTGATATTCTTGTTTTCTCAATAGGTACGAACGAAAATACGTTGTTGTAAACTATGAACATTAGTGAATTAAATATCCTTAATACGACAGAATTTATCTGATTACATAAATTTTTATTGACTTATTATAATAAAAAATAATGATATATAAAAAAAAACAATCAGTTTTTTGCTGTCATTACCCCTTGACTGACAGCATATCGGCAGAAGCGAACTTAACGCTAACGGGTAGTATATGAAAGCATCAATAAAAGATTATTTAAATATTTTTACGGTCTGAAAAAAAATAGCTCTTACATGGCTAGCATGAATTTAATTAATGACACTAATTATTTAACAAAGTTAGTCCAATTTAAAAGAAAGTATTACCTATAAGGAGTTTCTCCAGTGTGGCTTCTAACATGGTTGTCAAGATGCTCTTTGCGTGAGAATGTTTTATGGCAAGTTGTACATGCATAGGGTTTGTCTTGAGTTAATCTTTTGGTTTGTCTCTCTGCTGGGTCACCAGCTATAATAATAAAAGATATTGAGTTAAGTAACATAACAGTGGTACACAGAGTTATAATCATAGCAGAGTAAAAATAAATAATTAATAAAAATTTGAAAAAACACTAGTAACAATGTTGCCAATTTAAAAAGTCACTCATGTTTTGAAATATTATTTTTGGCTACCTTTATCAACTATTTATTTTATATTCGTGTAAAAGTACCTATTACATAGTCTTAAATTGATAAGTATCCAGTAATCTTATCAATTTAATATGAAAAAAAAAAAATCTCATTTACCAAGATGGCATTTCCCGTGCCTTGATAATTCTACAGCATTTGCAAATGCTGAACCGCAAACTTGGCAAGTGTACGGCTTACTCTCGCCATGGTAGCGTCTGTGCAAAAAGAAATATAATAGAGCTAAAACATTCACTACTTACATACTGATATGTATTAATCATGATATAGATCATATTTCATTTTATCTTTTTAGTTTTTAGTCATAATTAAATTTTTTATTAATGAAGAGAAAAAATTACAATAACATATTTATTGAATATTAATATTAGATTGAGATTATTTTTAATGAATAAATTCGACAACCTGTTTAGCATGTTTTTCTTCTTATATTTATTATCAAGAGAAAAGTATGTTATGTATATATTTTACCTATTATCCATAGGTCAAGCTTAGCTTATTTTGGGACTATGTAATTGAGTCAATATGTGTCATGAACAAAAAAAAAAACAATTCAATGAATCAATTACAAATTACATTTTGCATTTGCAATGCAATAAAGTTTGTACCTGTGAACAATCAATTGGTAACGAAATTGAAATATTTTCCCACAGATATCACAAGAATGGTGGCCGGGAGAAGAGTCCGTTTCTGAAATGGCGGCACTAGTGCCTGCTTCTACTTCAACTTCACTGATAACCTGAAAATAAAAAAAAAGTACTATAACAGTCTCATGTGCAAAGTTTATAATTAAGCGGTGTCTGTGGGAAGATTTTAACCCTCCAATTTTAGCCACAGTTTTAATAGTGTTTTATTAAACATTATAAATGTTTTCTTAAGCAATTTTTGCATTTGACAGTACAAACTTGAGGAGGAAATTTCAATCAGACCCTTTAAAGCAACCTATACATAGTTCACATCAAGCCCCCTATTTAAATTGTAATTCACCTTGGCTTGTTGCTGACCCTCAGGGTTCAGCTTACCAAACACTTCATGGTATGCCAACAGTTGAGAAAGATCTTCTACATTTACTTTGTACATTGCATGAAGGTCATGTTCTGAGGCGCCTGCTGAGATTTTCACTACAGCTCCTTCCATACCCATTGCACCTACAGCCTGAAATCATGTGTTTACTAATATAAGGTACTGAAATACTTAATTTTTTAAACAATAAACTAGGATTACAAGGATATAATAACAAGATAATAAGCAGTTACTTTATACTTTTTTGCAGAAAAGCAAATAAGATTTAATTTCTTTTTTTACTTTAATAGCTAAGCCTAAGAGTTGGAACATGAGCAAAAATACATTTTTTTACTTTCAATATATTTTCTTTATGCTTTTATTTAACCCTATTTAGGTTTGACATATAATTTTTTGAAACACTCAAAAATCTATGTCCTTGTTTATAACAAATATTTTGTTTACAAATAAAACTGGTTACCTTTAAGTCAATACCCTTGATATCTTTTATATCAGTAGGTATTGCAAATTGGGCGGATTCTATTTTAGATACATTTTTTTCATCCTTCACTATGAGTTGCTCTGCAGCACTAGTTTCAATTGATGTGGTTCCATCTGGATTCTGAGTAACCAGTATGTTTGCGGGCTCTCCTGTGGCTTGTTCTATACGGACTACACTGTCAATTACCTGCATATAAAGCAAATTTGTATCATAACTGAACATATTAAGAATAGATCATGATCTTTGCAAAATCCGAGAATTTATATGTATCAAATGTAGTAAATTTATACCTCTAATAAATTATAAAATGGTATTTCAAACTTTTAAAGCACAAAAACACAATTCAAAATTATTTTCAGTTTATATTACATACAATGTGTCACCGAACTTATCATTAGACTAATCATTTATTTACTTTGAATAATAATTCTTAAAATGTTATCATGAAAAACTTTAAGTAATACCTGATGATGGCCAACAAGTTGTTGTAATTGGTGGACTGTGAGTGTATGGTCTGTGGGCATTTTAATAGCTTCATGAAGTTCTTCCTTATCTACTAGTTTTCCTCCACCGGGCTCCACCACTGTCACTATGCCATCTTCACTGACCGTTAGCTGAATCTATTAAAATTTATGAGCACAGATGAATATTTCTTTCAGATAAAAATGGTGTTAAAGCATGTTTTCATGTGTAAAACAATGAAGATTGCAAAAAAATTGTATTTACACTGAAATATAACAGGTTGATAAGCGTTCTAGAATTTGATTGAGATTATTAAATGGCTAAATGTATGAAATAAAAATATGAAGCGATCTTACCTCGCTGACCTGTTGATTATTATTATTATTAAGCAGCATGTGGTGCAGAAAATAAGTATTTAAGTGTTAAAATTGTAATGTAAGGGAAATATTAAAGTCAAGAAATTATTTACCTGTTGGTTAGCATGGTCCTGACGGGTAGCCGTCATAAGTTGCTGCTGCATTGAATGTTGTTGGGAGTGATGACCCTGTGCAGTAAATATTTTTTTAAATACTATGTCTTGACCTAAAAGTAGGTATTCAGATTTGTATGTGTATCAATTGTATTAAATAGTGTAAACATTGAGATAGACAAAACATTGAATTATTAGTACATTGATAATATTCATGGTGTTTTTTATGCATGCAGTAAACATTGTTACTAAATAACTATACATAAACATGCATTTTATACAGTAACATTATACAGATAAATTGCCAATAAATCATTATTTTTTCAAATGTTTACTATGAATACATGTAGTACTGTTTCACCAATAAGCATGCACTCATTTCAATCTCTTAGTCATACATTTTTTAACCACTCTATTTTCTACACAGCAACATTTTGTATACATTCCCGCTATTAATCGGAATGGGTTACCACATGATTTACCATATCAATGTTATGGTGTTGAATAAACTCGACCCTGTTATTGGGTACCTGCTGATGAGTCGGCTGGCCTGTGCTAACAGAGACCTGTGTGCCATTGCCAGGGTTTTGTTGAGTACCAAGGTCTTGTTGCTGATTGTGAGCCACCAGTGATTCTAAAGGACAAGCAAATTAATAATGAACATCATATTAAACTCAAAACTTAATTTTCCCTGGTAATAAAAAGATTAATGTGATATTTTGGTATTAAATAAAGTGTTACCATGAGTCTGCCCAGATTGCAATTGAGTTGCAATAATTTGTGTGACAGGTATTTGTTGGCCACTAGGTCCAGAAACAGAAAGCTGAGGTTGTCCTGTATGTTGACCAAGAATTATGTTGGGATCACCATTTAGAAGTCCTGCATGCGTTTGACCTAGGTCCTAAAATAAGTACAAATTAAAAAAAAATACCCAATAAGATGTAAATTGAAGAAAAACAGCTTAATTAGTATTTAACTTATCTAAGCTACTTTTGAATGCTGAAGGTTTATAATATTCATAGCATACCTGCACAGGTTTTCCATTTTCAATCCTCGTGTTTGTTGGTAAACCGTATACAGACACTTGGGGTATTGGACCAGGAAATAAATTTGTAAACACCCAATACTTGGCCACGCTTGACAATGCAACATTCACTGCAGCCGAATTAACCCGTAGGTCGGTAGCTGATGTTGTAGGTGTTAGATTATTTGCTGACTGTTGTTGTTGTTGGGCAGAAGTAACTCTTTGATTCTGTGTCTGTAAATATTTGGGTAATATAGAGGAAACTTATTAGAATAATTTAAATGGTAAAAAGTAGGATTAAAATTTAATGCACCTCTGCGTTGCCAGAAGGTTGGCCACCACCCGTATTTATATTATGGTGTTCAGGATTCATTTTACAACCTATTTATTAACCAAATTATTGTCCACCACTAGGTTATTTACAAAAACATAACAACTTTTACATTTCTACGTCTCGGCATTGTCATATCTGACTGTCAACGAAATGGAGGCGCGGGGGACGCGACGGGCCGCCATTATAAAACTTAGCACACAATAACACTTTTTATCTTTTTAATTTTCATGGCGCGTACTAACTATAAACAGGTTTATGTTAAAGCTAAAGATAGGATTTAAAAGAATTTCACTTAAATACACAACAAAACATTTTTGAAATCAATATTAGGAGTTATTTTCAGTTTTTTATTATTACACTTAATCACCAAGAACGAAGCGAACGAAAGTTTGTCACGATAACAGAATAGCCAACATCACGAACAACAAAATCAACTTTACAACTTTTATTTTTAATTTTATATTTTAACAATAGTTATTGTACATATTTAAATAAATTGTTATATTTTTTCCTAACTTTCCCATGTAATTACCAGAACAACGTAATAATACGGAAAAAATGATTTTGTTCGTTAATAGTGGGGAAACGTTCTAAGCTTCCAAGTGGGACAACATTACAAATATATTTTTTTTTAAGCAGCGTTATGTATAATCTATGTAAGTATCTAATATTTTCATAATTCAAATAAACTGAGAAAAATTGAAACAAAATAAAAATGCAAACATTTTTTAAAATTATTTTAATAACTATAAATTTTTTTACATTTAGTTTTTAATGAGAAGAATTTAAACATCATGTATATTAGGTATTAGCATAGACGACTATAATTAAAATTTTAAATATTCATAAGATTGTATTAATTTTTCCAAAAATATTTTCGACTAAAAATACAATATATTTTATAGTAGAAAATATTATTGGAACGACCCCGGAATGAAGCCACTAAAACGTCCCAATTGGGATGTTTCGTCAATAGTTTACATTAGGTAAGGCAGCGAGTAAGTCACGTTGTAAAAATTTTACAATAAAAAAAATGCCTTAGTGTGTCTAAGCATGTACCAAGTAGACGTAAGGCGTATTTATGATACATATAACAGGTATCACTGGTAAATATAACAGTTATCTCGTGATAACAGACAGTACTACACACTAAAATAATAGTTCCCGTTCCACACAAATTGCTCCATACGCTGGCTGACACAAGCTTTTCTTTATTCTTCTTTACGACTATTACCTTAGTTAGAAAGAGATAAAAACTGTTACATCTTGACACAATTGTTACTCAATATTGTCACTCATACAAGCTTTCTTTTTCTTCGGTCTTATAGCTTTGTTAGAAAGAGAAGTAAGGACTTTACCATAGAGTGACGTACTGTAACAGCTGTTACTATGATAACAATTACACAAATTGTCACAACATAGTATGAAATTACAAGCTGTTATTTTGTAACAGGTATTTGTCACTGTTACTTTTAAGGCGTAAGAGGTACTCGATTTAACCTAGTATAGCTCACTCCTAGAGAAAAAATTAAAAGTGTCATATGGGCGTAACCCAACGATCACAGTTAAGCGAAAGTGTCACTAACTGAAGACAGTATGATTTCTGACGTGATTGGAGTCACACGCGCCGTCACAAATGTCCTCCTGTTCATAAACTCTATTATAATACAGTATTGCGTAATTTACAACTGCAAAAGTAATAGCCAAAAAAATGTCTCAAATGAAAGGGTTTTACATCACAGTCAAGTGCTATTTTAGCATATTTTACAAAATAAAACAATTTTACGATCTACAATGTATTTGAGCATTTGAAGCAAAGCTTGGCGCATCCATTTTTACATCATTTTCAGCATACAAACAATTTCGAATATCAGTTTACAACGATCTGTGGCTTCTTCGTTCCTACCACGGATGGCGCTACAGGCGCCGTAACAATATACGATAAAATGCGTTGAGAATTTCTTCGGTGTGGCAATTAGCCGTTTAGATAAGTGGCTAGAGCGTCAGGGCGCCAATTCCGAAGACTTGGTTTCGATTCCCACAGGGGCGAGAATCTTTTCTTACCTTTTTTCTACAAATGTTTAATCTTAAGTGCAGAGATTAGGACTATAAAAATTGAAATTTCTAAAAAAGTAACTTTTTATTAAAATGAAAATCTAAGAAAACACATAATAGCACACACACTGCTCCCACACAGATTCACGATAAATCAAACGACAAAGTAACAATTTATTTCTATAAGAAAAAAAATCGATAAAATCTGTTTTTTATTAAAACATATACATAATATAATTAACACTAAAACTCCTAAGTTGAAAGTGTACTGTTTCAACTTAAAAGTATCGATAAAAGTTCAGTAATTATCCATATAAGTAGGTACATTGTAAGTATTTTATTTAATGAATCACAGTAAAGATTAAACATAGAGTTTTAAGTGTAGAGTTTCAAAAGTATAAACTATGTTTACCAAAAATAAGGTAGGACACGTTAATATAAAGTATGGATGGCAGTTGGTGTCAGAACTGAGAACCACTTCTACTGTTTTCTCTATTCCGTGATTCTAAAGTTAACAAAACTCAAGGGATCTCATATCATGTCGTATAGTATCATTGATATCTATAGTACAAAATATCATTGGATAAAGCTAAAAGTTTTTAATAGTTTGCTTTTTAATACTGTAGGGTAGTTACAATATAAATTAAAAAAATATGGGTAGTTTTAATTATTTCTATTTATGTTTTTAGAGAATTCAATCATTGAAATTAATATTTGTCTGTAAATGACAACAATGATATCTTCTAAAACAAAATTAAATTTGGGAAATATCTTCTTTTTTACTGATCTTTCTGAACAAGTATTATACTGTTGACAATGCGGTAGTCATTCATAAATACCTAAATTTTACTGTGCACGAACTTGTGTGTGTGTTTGTTATGAATGATCGCGCGTAAAATAAATGAGTTGCGTATAAATCATGCACTTTTTGAGATAAGATCAAATGAATGTAATTAATTACTTACGAGTGATTTTAAATATTTATCATTTTATATAACATTATTTATGTCTAGAATTTAATAAAAAAAATGAATACACTTAGAAAAGCCACCCTGTATATCTCATTCTTACTGATTAAAACTGTCAGTCTTCTCTACAGTCACTCTAACTTTCCTAAAATTTTAACAAGATTTTATTGGCAAAAGATTTTGGTCTGGAGTCTTCGTAGAGTCTTATGCGTAATAATTATATAAAATGTAACTTCTGCGCGGTAGGCGCAATTTTACATGAAAAGTTAAATGCATTTTATTGTAATAGCGACCGACTCTCTAAATGTATGAGTACAGCGTACATTTATGTATAGTAATAAAAACATGCATTAATCAAGAAATAACTGCACACAAAAAACGTATACGGTGTTTTTATCTGTAGTTTAATTTTGTTTAAAAATCATCTCTGGTAATAATTGTTTTTTGACATTCGACAAGGAACAATAAAAGTTCGTGGAATTGGCGATATCATATGGACCGCCAACTGCCTTAGGAGAAGACGAAGTCGAAGACGAGAGAGGGAATTTTAATGTGTCAGTTTCGCAATAAATACCAAGTTTTGGCAAAATCATTTGGCAGAAAAGATGTCGCCATATCAACAAGTTCATCGGGAAGAAAATTTCAACTGAACAGATAGTAATAGAACAGACAGTCTCAGTCTCAGTCTCGCGTTGTCATAAAGTTCCTCACTTCTTGACCATATTTGTCAAGGGTCAGCGCCAGATGTGCTGAGATTGTTCAAATCGCTTCAAAAGCAACAGCGCGTCGAGCGCTCGCAGGAGTTTTTGGAACTCTGTAGCGAAAACCGAGATGAGTTATTGTTCCAAATTGTTACTGGGGACGAAAGGTGGCATCATCGCGCCTGTGTCAAAGGAGGAGTCACTGTAATGGCATAAAAAACGGACATCCCCTACTAAGAAGTTCAAAGTGACGCAATCGGCCAGAAAGGTGAAGGACACGATATGAGGGGATTCTGAGGGTATTTTGTTAATTTACTCTAATTTGCTCCCGTCTGATTACTATTTGTTCCCAAAAATGAAAAAAGAACTTTGACGAGAAAAGTTTACCAAAGACCAAAATGTGAAGTCGGGGATTCGGCCTATTTAAATGGCGTCGACAAAACATTTTTTTTTTGATAATATAAACAAATTATTTGGGAGATCAGAAAAATATATTAGAAAGAAAGAAAGAAAGAGTATATTTAAGGGAGAATATTTTGGAAAGGGAACTATAAAGGTACTTTTCCTTTATAGTTCCTTAATTTCATTTTATTTCCCGTCTATTCCGCGAAATTTTAGACCGTCCCTCGTAAACATTTTTTTCTCTATTAGTGCTACATCACAGGTTTTTTTTAAATGTAGAAAGAAAACTTACACTATGTATTTCGAAACATTTAAAGCTGTTTCTAGGGCTTGAAGTGCTTCTGCATGGGACAAGCCGTGCTACTTTTTCTATGTCACTTTATATTCCCTGCTATTCGTTTACCTGCAATATATTTTTAACAATTTCATCTTCTGACATGACCTGATAATCTTGATAATTGCGTCACAAGCTCACAAGTAAGCCTACCCTAAGGTTTACAATTTGGCTAATCATGGTAAATAAGCTATATTGATTCTTTGTATACAGTTTACCTATAACATTATATAGGAATGTTATATGTAATATAGATATGTATGTGACAATAATTATAAAAATTCATAGACAATAATTATAATTATTATTAAAATTCAAATAAAAATGTATAACCTATAAAATGTATAAAAATATATGACGTTGAATCTACCCGCGGACACGTAACATTGTGCTCCGTATTATTATAAGTTTTAAAATATTTAATCTTATTTATTTTATATATTCATACCTTTAAAGTTTAAATCTAAGCGTGAATCAAAAGTGAAAGTGTTTTCAAAAGTGAGAATGTAATGAAAACAAAGTTATAAACAAGTGTAATTCCGTGCAGAAAAAGTGCTAAATTTCGTTTATTAGGCAGTT